TTGTTTTGATAGTGTGGAAAATTCCCATATTATGAATTAAAAGTCAATCTGAACGAAGAATATTCTTTTCAATAATTTCTCTTCAGGTTCTTACAATTATAAAATATATTTGTTGTCGTTACAAAAAAGGCCAGTTATGCGGCAGATACATTTGTTCAAGTATTGGTTTGGTAGGGATTTTGTTTAATTGCATGGAGGATTTCATCATGAGCTCGCCTTGTAACTAGAAGGTCCTGGGTTCGAATCCCGGTGGGCGCGTACTGCTGAAGAGTCCCAAACTAGGACGAAACAGCTGTCCAGTACTCCCAGGTTTTCCAGTGGTTCTCTAACTGATGTCAGCTCATCATGAAATCCTCCATGCAAAGATACATTTTTTAACGTAGAATAACAGATTGGCAGTTATGGGGTGTCAAAATAAATAGTCGTATTTGTGTGACAAACGTGCTAGGCTGAATTCGATTATTGTAAAACGGGAGACAATGGTGATTAATCATAATAGATTTGTAGAGTGTGGGGTAGGAAAATTGACAAGTGAGTTCAAGGTTATAAAAGGTGTCAGGTGAGTGGCTAGTACAAAGTGGTCTGTGTTAAACAGGAGATAGTAAGACTGCAATGGGACCACTTTGTACTAGCCACTCACCTGACACCTTTTATAACCTTGGACTCACTTGTCAATTTTCCTACCCCACACTCTACAAATCTATTATGATTAATCACCATTGTCTCCCGTTTTACAATAATCGAATTCAGCCTAGCACGTTTGTCACACAAATACGACTATTTATTTTGACACCCCATAACTGCCAATCTGTTATTCTACGTTAAAAAATGTATCTGCCGCATAACTGGCCTTTATTTGTTTGTTGGTTGCAATTGTTGAGTAGTATTCATAATTGTTAATCCCTCCCTCTCTCTCTCTGTCTGTCTTTTGCATTTTTTGCCTTCATTCTCCAATTTCATTTCCCGATTGTTTGTGTTGTTTGTTGTCGTAGATGAGCCAGCGCCTACACGTCAAACATCCAATCAACTTGTCAAAACTCATTTGAATGATTTATGTAAATCAAGAGTTTGGAGTGATCTTCAACATAGTCTTAGGTGAGTTTCATCTTGCACTACAACTTTTTCTTCTGATTTTATTATTTTTTTGTGTGTGTTTTACTTATGCTAATACTGTGGTGGGTGTGATACAGACAATGTGTTCCAATGGAATATTATTCTCACCTATTCTCACAGCACAATACTGCATTAGCAACAGAATACTATGTGTGTGTGTGTGTGTGTATTTGAACATTCTATTTCATGTCGTTTAATGTAAACCAAAGTTCATCATAAGCTCAGTGATTAGTTAACGAATATAAACCGTATGTATATAAACAGCGGTTTGATCAATTAAAAATATAGCATAACTTCTGTGCTTTGCCCTCCTACTGTTACTGTAGCAGTCAATGAATGAATACATTGATTATTACTTACATGGATAAATTCAGAAAATTGTCAACTGGCACTCCTGATTTTTCTAGTCTATCTAACAACAGCTTCACTAATAATCATGACCAGGATTGAAAGGTGATAATGATAATATTATTATTATTCCCTTGAGTTCCGAGCGGAACATACAACTTCAACAACACATTTCCACTTTGTCCTATCTTCTGCCGTCCTCTTCTGCTTGGACCATGATTGCCCACAGTCTCTCATCTCCTCCTCCATGTCCCCCTAACAATGACGACCCACTCGTCGCCGCTTCCCATTGAGATTCCGCCCGAGCAATGGCCTGCATTGTGCACGACGTCATTTAACTGTCTCCTCAACTTATTTATGCCCAATCCATCTCCATTTTCTCCTACATATTTGTTGAGCGAGCGGCTCTTCGTTGGTTTGTTCCCAGCCATAATTTCTTGTTGCTAATTCTTCCTGGCCATTTGATCTTTAGTATGGAGTCAGCCAGCCAGCGAAGTGGGCAGCTGTTGATGAAAGTCTGAAACAGGCTGTTGGAAATCCTTTTCGTGACTACTCACGTGCAGTGCAAGTTTCTGACCCATATAGAAGAATTGACTGACTGACTGACTGACTGACTTCAGATTTGTGTTGAATAGAATGCGAATGTTGTTGTTTATGCTGCTGAGTGAGTGCAGAATATTTGCAAACTGGTTTCAGATTGATAAAGGTGTATCTTGCCTTTCTGATTCTGGCCTGCTTTGACATCTTCACCCGTTCCGAATGGCTGTAGTGGAAACGACGCTGGCTGCCTAGGTAAGGGAAGGAGACAACCTCAGTCAAATCTCTCCCGTTGATGGTGATTAGTGCTGTTTGTTGTTGCTGTGACGGTTGGTTGGTTGGTTGGTTATCTTCATCACCTCCGTCTCTATTCTATCTTCTCTATGTTCACCTGGAGTCGTGTGTTCGCTGTCTGTCTCACCTCTTGGGGAAGTTTGTTGGTTTTCGCCTACCTGTCTGCCTGTAAGTCTTCGAGTGTGTGTGACATTCGACATATGTTATCGATGCGTGAAATCCAGATGTTCTAGAGTCTTCTTATCGGTGGTCCAGCGTATTCATGTCTTCTCACTCCCCACATCCAGTGTGATGCATAATCCAGTCCACCACAATTAAAAATATCATCGGTGATAATAGGCAGCCAGCATGGCTTTATTGAAGGTGAACTGTCCCAATAATGCCTCAAGTGATAAATGGCTGTGTACTTCTGTGGCTGACTGACTGACTGACTTGAGAAGAGAATGAACAGTCTGAGTATGGAGATGGGATAGGATGGGATTGGGTGTCTAGATGATTGGAAAGATAATTTCTTAGTGAGGATTTGGATGAGAGTTTAGCTTGTTGTAAGGCTTCATAGTATTTCTGGCGCTGTTGTTGTTGTTGTAGTAGTAACTGAATTTTGTGAAATTTGAGGTAGATAAGTAGGTAGGTGATTGAACCCTTGTAAAATTGACATGACTGGATATATAACTGAATTAATTGTACTAGAATTTGTGATTGTTTCCACTGAACTGAATAACGCTGTCACCAAAGTTTTTTTGGACAAAGTATCAGTGCAGTTGTGGTTCGTCTAACTTGAGTTAAATGCGTCTCCAGACACAACAGTTTTTTTATCAATATATATATATAACTGAATTAATTGTACTAGAATTTGTGATTGTTTCCACTGAATTTTATATGGGCGGTCATGTGAAGTATTCCCTTTTTTGATGCGACGTCTCCTTCATCCAGTGGTTATCAAAGGTGTTTCAGTACCGTAGGCCAGGATATACCAGCACAATCTCGTGGCAAATCTGTAGTAGTATGCGTTCGGTTTTTATACTAGCCGCCTCCTTCAATCTGCTAGTTATATTGCTCAGCGCAGATATGGGTATCAAGCAACGTTATCTAATAAAAGTGCCGCAAGTGTAACACAGTTCAAGAATATATACTCCAGAAAAGAAGTTTTGATGCAAAACTTCCCTTTAAAAGCTTGCGAAAGAAATATATCGGTGAACCACCATAGCAACAGGTCAAGAAGCCACAATCCTCTGGGATATTCAATAAAGTCATTCATCATCATGATCGGTGTGGATATCTTCGCTCACGTCTATGTCCCCTTGACCAGGTATTGATCTAGTTATCGTTATCACTCACGCATACGCCATTAGCTGTCGTATAATGTTTTTGGCGTTAGTCGAGCAGTATGAATGATCGGCTTGTTCGTTTCCAGTATCAGCGTCCTTGTTGTGCTCTATTTCAAGCTCTCATTGTTATTACAAAAGTCTACAATGGTCTGTTGGAGATGCTTTTAATGACGTACCGAGTGTGTGGAGCATAAGAAAGCTTTGAATCTCCATGCCACCTGTCGTACTGGTATTCACAAAGTATGAGCATCTTATTTACCAAACAAGCTTTCTTTTCACCGATGTTTCTCAGTTCTGTATCAAGAATATTCCTTGAAGAGATTACACAGCATACCTTGAATATAGTTGACCCACATATTTAGCACTCATTGTCAGTATCAGAGTGTTAATTCACACTTGAAACACGCCGCCACTCTAAGTCAGTTACTGAAAAGCTGGCTTAGCCCTGTTTATTTAGTTTATCAATACGATTGTTGTCTGCGACAGCAACTGTTCAGTCTCCTACTTTCAATAAGAAATGTGAATTGGAAGTGTGTGTGGCTAGTCATTACTTCCCGGCTGCTGACATAATGGAAATTGATTTCTTCTTGAGATAATTCAAACAGACCGAGCACTAGTATTGTGTTACCGCAGAGCTCAGAAGACAACTACTTGAGACTGATCATAAACGACCCGTGTGAAGTGGTTTTTTTTGAGTTACATCTGCAAGATAAATCGAGATGTACAATTTTTGGGATCGAATTTTTTTATAACTCCCGTTCTCCATAGCAGGGAGGCAGTATAGCTAGCTAGCTTGCTGGTCATCTGAGGGAAACACGCTACTTCTGTTACATGTCTATTCGATTGCATGGAGGATTTCATCATGAGCTGACATCAGTTAGAGAACCACTGGAAAACCAGCTGGGAGCACTGGACAGCTGTTTCGTCCTAGTTTGGGACTCCTCAATAGTACGCACCCACCGGGGTTCGAAACCAGGACCTTCTGGTTACAAGGCTGGAGAGCTCGTAGACCATTGAGCCACTGGGACCCGATCCAATGGCCAGTCCTTGAATTCTAACTTCTGCCAATTCACGACATAGTGCGACCATTTCGCAATATCTTCTTCGATGAGTTACATCCTCATCTTCAACCTGCTGTACCCTACTGGTCACGGCTTTCTACTGAAACCCCAGGTCACTGCCTGATGAAATCCTCCATGCAATGAAACAAAAAATCCCTACAAAACCAATACATGTCTATTCGACAGCAGTATGACTTCGGCCAGAAACTTCGAACATAATGTAGACAAGTTACAATATAACGTCACTGCTTTTAGTCCAATTGCAAATCAAACTACCTTTCTGGCATGGTAGGACATTGCAGGAACATTAGTTCCACCGTTATTTGCCTTTGTATGTTATTCTTGATACTATTGGCAATTACTGTAAAATAGAAATAACCCTACCTCATTTTGATTGTCTTGACGATTATTTTTTTCTTATTGTCCTATTTTAGCAATATATCTGCCCTCGGGAGTCTTGACTTTCTCCAGTCATCATCAACATCATCAGCGTCATCTTCCTCTCAACAAGTTTCCTCCAATCCCGTTGGCAGACTAACTCGAACACATGACGACATAATTGTCGAGACGTTCTCCTCTTTAAGGCGTATTTTTACACCGAGTAGTAGCAACAACAGTGAGAGCAATTTACCTAGCCTCCCGTGTTCAGACAGTGTCTTATGTCGTTTAATTCTCAATTGTGCCACTAGCGAAATTTGGCATTCACATCTTTTTCTACCGGAACGGTGTAATGATGAAACCAGAACAATTTGTACTCCTGCTACAACCACAGCAACAACAACAAAAACAGTAAATCATCAAGATGAAAGTAATCCGGTTACTGCTGAAACTAATAATAATAATGTTGGTGGTGCTGCTGTCGAAAATGGTCAAACCAATAACGGTGATAACAGTGTGAATGTTGGCGGTAGTTACAGTGCAATAACTAAAAGTAAGCAGTGCTGATGAAGTTAATTTGTTAGGAAATTTTTCCAAAATATTTTATCCTTTTGCATTCTGAGTGGTCTTCAAGCTTCTTCATGTTTGAAGTTTCAGTAGCATTATTTATTGGTGTTGCTCTTATTTTACCGGGTGGTGGTGGTGGTGGTGGGGTTGTCAGCTTTACATCCAACTCTTCCTCTTTGTCCGGCTTAGAAACCGGCTAGTGGGTTGGGGGGCTAGATGAAGGTGTGCGGGGGTTGGGGATCGAACCTCGGGTCACGTGGATGAGTGGTTGGTGGTTGATGAGCATTTTGTCGTCGAACCACCAAGGCAGTTTGTTAGGAGAAAATGTTTATCTAGAGAAAATACGTATATCCCGGAAATTCTCATCAGGGTTTACACTTACATTATTATGAAATATTAGTCATGGGCATTTGAATGATGAATGTGGTTAATGAAATACAAGATCAGAGTTCAGGGATGTGAATTAATCAATAACAAACGAGGTTATCACAATAGGAATAATAATAACAAGGATAAATTCATTCAAGTGTCCATATAATCTAGATAATGGTGAGTGTGTTCAGGTAGAATGTGCATCCCAGTAGGTGTAGAGGGGAGGATAACTTTTGTCACACAGCGATTAGATAATGTAGTAATAATAATAATAATAACGATAAATTGTGAAACCAAGCCTAAAATGTACAACTACAACACAGCATGATATTGATAATACAGTTAGCTAGCAGTACAAATAAATATGAGATAATATTTACAGTTATCTGGTGTCACTGGAAGAGATAACTATCCTAGATTGATGTTGAAGGTCACAGGAGGGAGAGACGGGGAAAGGCTAAACAAACTTCCTGAACACAGCGATTGTGTTGGTTTTTTTGTTATGCCAACTGCCTCAGCTATGCCGCTTATCAACCAATGTCGTAGTAACTTAGAGAATTGAGGTGGCACCTTGTATAGAATTGTAAAAGCTGAATATTTATCAATCTTATCCTCCGTATCCACAAGGGGTGCCAATATGGAACTTCTGATCTGACTCAACGATTCCCCCACCTAAACACTTTTGGACAGTGCTCAAGAAAGCGACCGTAGGCTTTTCGAGTCGTTCTACCTATTTATTTAACTGTCTCCACAAGAGTAGTTAAATTTATGAATGCACTTTAAAGTGTCCGGGCTCGGTATTTGATGCTTCACTTTCAATACAGTGTTGCGGCAAACAGTGTTTAGCTATTCGTTTAAATTATCTAAAAAGAGTGGCTTTACTTTCTCAAATGACTGTCTTCGTTAATATTATCAGTGATTTCAGTGTGTGTGTGTTGAGTCGTTTGACAATGCTCTTTCAGTTCCTGTGAGACTTGGTCGTTGAAGATACACGGATATAAAAGAAGAAAAAAAAGAGATTGGCAGCCAACCTTTTGACCCCATTGGTGTTAAGTGTATGCTGTTGTCAGTAATTATAAGATCAAGCATGTAAAATATTATTTGAAAGAAAAAAGAGAAAGTCACTAGATGGATGGGCTTGTAATACTGGATTGATTGATTGAGATGGCTAAGACATGCACGTCACAAATGCTGAGCAGTTATCTTTCCTTCCTTGTTAAACAATGTTATAACTGATATAGGATTGATTGAGTTAGAAAAAAGAGTTAGCTAAGATTGTGAGTGAACTGTACAACACTGTTACACTCTGTATGCGAGTGGATGATGTAAGAGTGTATTTAATAGTGACTGAGCACAGTAACCATTGTGTGTGTGTGTGTGTGCACCACAATTCCCAGGTGGTATAGCTATGTTGTGCAGCTTATTTTTTGTGGGCATGAATTTGAAACCTTTTTTACAACATAGAGGTAGTAATTGATTGTTTGATATTGTCTGAGAAGAACTGTGTTGGTTTTCGAGTTGTGTCATGGGTGTAATCCATCTTTTTTTCATGATTCGAATGATTTCCTTCTAAATTTTTGTTAACTGGTAGGAATTCAGGCTAAACGCATGACAGTAATTACTTCCCAGTGTCCAGTCAAAATATCCACTGAAGTTCTATTGTGGTAGTAGTAGGTCAATCAGTTATGAGCCTGATTAGCTTAGTTTTAATATGTCTCTCACTGCCTCAGCACTGAATGGATGATGGTGACTCGGATTCGAATCACGTAAGGAACTCCTGCAAGATTGCAGATACACATACACCTTCCTCTGACGAGTGACAATAAACACCAAATCTAGCTCCAGAATTTCTTACCGATTGCATCCACAACCATCTAATAAGAATTCAGAGTCCAACATGATGGCGAAATCACACCATGATGGCCATGATGACCACATTGCCCACTTGACTGATAGAATTCAATCTACACTAAAAGAAAGGAATAAACATATAACATTAGTTTAATGTCATACATTTATTCCCCTTAAGGAATTTGAACAAAGCAAGAACTACAGTTTTAGCAGAATAAAGTGGTACCATCATTGTTTATTTCGTTGCCTTCTCGTCAGCTGCTTACAGGGCAAAGTATATCTACCTGGCGATGGCACTGTTTAAAGCATTTGTTCCCTTTAGACGTAAGCTTTTTGGTACATGTTCAGGAAATCGTAGATATGCCCTTCTTTCTGTTCTTCCAATGTAACTGCTCCCGCAGATAAATGTAAATTTGTAAATACAGTTGAAATTGTTAACATGAGAAGGATATCTGTCGATTTTTGATTGCACCAAAGAGCAAGTTGTTCGATAGATGGGGACGAGCTTAGGTGCAGGATAGGCTATGGCTAGTGATGTACTCAGCCTTCTATTGATCATCGCTGCAATGTTTTCACCTTAATAATCAAGCTGAATGTAGACTGGCTTTTTACCCACTGTGATTTATTTGGCATTTGTGACTTCAGATCTTCCATACTTGTTGATTAACCTTCAAGAATACCCATTGCTCTTCAATATCTTTTCAAGAAACTCAAATTCCAATGAAAATATAACTCCAATAAGCTTATCCCTTGTTTTGTTTTTTTACTTATCTGCCTTGTCTAATTTTTCTCTATCATAGAACTTTACGATACTTGTCTACCTCCATCCGCTCCATCCAATGCTCATCTGAATTGGGCTTTGAACGTGATATTGTCTTCGTATCGTTCATCGCAGTCTTCAACTCCATCATCGTCATCATCATCAGCAGCAGCAGCAACAGCATCAGTGGTTCAATCTTCTGATTCAATCAACCGACGAGGTGACCTTGAAAATAATGATAATTTGCTGCCAATACAAGCGACTAGTAAAAATTTAATGGTCACCTCATCAAGTGATCAACTGCCAGCGCCAGCATCATTATCACAACAACAAAAGCAACAACCATTCGGTGTGTTACGTTGTCTCTTATGCAACTTTCAAACAAATGATAAACAAAGGCTTAAAATACATCTTATGGGTAGTGGTCGAACTGTACTCAATACAAAATGTGGTCTATGTGGTCAATTATTGAGTATAGTACAATCAGATTTATGTTTGATTAAAGCCCATTTACTGTTACACTTGGGATGTTATTTAATGTGTCCTCAGTGTGGATTTACGGTGAGTTATAATACTTTATTGTTGTTGTTGTTGCTTTTTGTGTTGTGTTCCACCCTCGTACAGACCGAAGGTACTACATATGTAAATGCTGGAATCAATCATGACTAATTAAAAAAAAATATTTTTACTCCTTTACGTTCCTAGTGGAAAATAGGGTGGGCTCCAAGCTTGAAGTTTCGGTAGCAGTGGTGTTTTCATTTTTACGAGATGGGTTTGCTAGCCCAGCCTCATGCCCTCCCTCCTACCTTCCCTCTTTACCAGTGTTATTACTGGCTTAGAGAGGAAAAGGAGTGCGTCGTTGGTGGCCGCGGATCGAACCCCGAGCCACATTCGTGGATGACGAGCATTCTACCGCTGTGTGCCATCGACGCTCACAATTAAGAAATGGCAAAGCTATTGAAATCGAGTGATCCAGGTGAATGGTTGCAGTGGGCTAATCACATTTTGCATAGGTTACTATTGTAGTTAGTTATACAGAAGAAATCGAATTCAGAATTTAGGAAGAAAGTTTTCACATCAACAAATACACTAAGTGATAATCTGCAAGTGTGTAATCTAATCCTGGCCCTTACTCCCTCCCCACTAAACTCTTCAGTTGTTTACTCTCTACACAATAGTCATTAAGTGCATGAATAGTGAAACTTCTGTGAAAGCTATTATGATGTGAGTTATCCTTGCAACCTTTGAAAGTAGGGAACCTGTTCACATTGATATTCTTAAACTTCTTTTTAACACACTTATTCACTACTGTGTGTTTAAACGTGAGAGACTGGCTACGAAACATTTTCAATAAGGCCAGAAATCTGCAAAGTGACATATAAATTTTCTGTGGAACCATTTCATGTACAGGGGCGAATTTTGTCATATAGACGCCTAAATAGGATACATAAGTCACTCGATAATGATGTGTTTAGAAACGCATTCATGGACTGATTTAGCTGGGTCTTGTGTTTTATGGCGTCGCCAAATATGCATACTATTGTCAAGTGACGATAATGAATGCTCCTAGTCGATTATTCCCTGACCCCGAATCACGTAAATTCCAGAGGACTCACACAGTAGGGTGTGTGGAGAGAGCTGGCTGCTGGCCAAAGTTGTTAGACAGTAATTGACGTTAGTGTTTATGTCCCCAATATTGGTGGTGAGAAAATGAGAACAAAGGCTTTGCGTAGGCAGATACAGTTAGAATATAGGTGATCTGACACAACCACAAAGAGATGCAAGTTTAACTTTCTGTGAGAAACAACCAATCAGAAGACTGTTTTACTGCTAACAATAATGTACATTAAAATCTATAAATATGTGTTGATTTTAGTTAATAAACGATCTGTTGCCTGGCCCTTGCCTCCTGTTGTTACATGTGTACTTCCAAAACAAGCGAGTAAGTAAGAGGTAGAGAGAGTAATCAAGTGGACAAAAATATTATTGATCCAGTCACAAGGCTCAAGGTGGGCGTTGACTGTGACTGATTGACTGACTGCATTCTGGATTCTGACTGACGACGTCCATCATGTGACAGTACTTGATTTGTTGTTATCTGACTGGTGGTAGATTAGTGAGATGAATTGTGCAGGTAAATATTGGAATGTGTGCACAAAGTCCATAGATTTTTCCGACGACATTGTTCTGTTCTTATATGATGTGTGATATGAACACGTGTTGTGCTTCATATAGAGACACTGAGCTAAGGATTTTCAAGATGAACTTTGTATCTAACTATTCAGATAACTAGAGCTGTGTACTATTAATATTGGTAACTGTGTTGTATGCATAACTGTCCTGAAAGTGTGAATGAGTTTTGTTGTTGTTGTTGTTTTGAGATATGAGTATTACTCATCAGGTGTGTGAATACATTCCATGCATGGTGTTTTAATGTGCAACTTTTCATTGGTGGGTGGAAATATGTGTATATATTACGGATTAACTATTAATTTTTGCATTGCTAATGAATGAAACATCAGCGACAAAATATGTGTATTAAGGGAATTTAATTGATCGATCTACTGCTACTGTGGTGTGTACTACTGACAAGATTTATCAGTAGTGTATACACAGAGACTCGTTGATTGTCTCAAAAATATCAAACAGTGGACAGATGGATGAACCAGTATATCGTGAGAAAACACGGGAGACACGAAAAGAAGGAGACAAAGAGACAGAATACAAAGTGGGAGTGGAGGGGGTAGACAGAAGTAGCACAACACGGAAGATTTGTTTGTGGAAATGACAATGTACAGATAAGGCGTACATCATTTCCCTATGTAGAGGTGTTAGATACTAAATATACATTCCACTACCAAGTAAGTGTCTTGTCTTCTCTGGTTACATTTATTGTCGCTGCCTCCTGACAATGAAGATTACATGGCCAGCTTCTTCAAAAGAAGGAGACATACGGAACTTCTTGTGGGATTTTGATGGCGTCTGTGAGTTAGTTGTTGGCCATCAAGACTTCGACGGGGAAGGTTGTTGTACTGCGGACGCTGCTGAGAGGTAGAGCAAAGGCGGCTCACGATAGTGTAGACTGGTCAGATGATAAGGAGACCTGAAAGGTATTTTCTAAACAATTGGTGGTGGTGCAACAGTTCCATGCTATGTGATTAATTAATTAATTGTCACTCTTCATTCTCTACATTCCCAGTAGAGGAAGTAGAGCCTTAGTGGCACATTTACACAGCACTCGGGTCTCTGGGCATCCTAATCAGCTGACTTGATGACTGCTGCTCGCAAGCTTTGATTTCTTTCTGACTTTATCTCGTTATCACTTCCGATCTCGATTCTACTCAAACCCGTAACGTGTTATTTCCGTTGAAGGTCTTTCCAGCATATGTTGAATCCATCATCCACACCCTCCCTTCTGCTTATTTATCGGGTAAAAGGCTATTGGCTGTTTCACTGGACGACTACACAAGTTCCTTGCTACTTGTCCTTTCTGACGGGGTGATCTGATCTGTAGTATCATCGAGCGAACTTAGGTGCTGATTGATAAGGGAGAGATATCCGCAGAAGCATGTTAGAAATAGTATTGATGATTTACGCTCTAAGTTTCCGCAGTATGTATGTATGAAAGCACTGACGACTAACTAACTTGACATTAGGGTTAAAGAATTAGGATCTCTCTGTTCTTGTACTGTGAGTGAGTGAGTGTTGTATATCTCCACAGAATCCATTAAAGTGTACTTGTTATGATGTGGTGACTTTATTGTGCAATATCACTGATGTCGAAGTAGGATATATATAGACGCCAATGCGCTCTTTACTTAGACGCATACACTGACCATGAATACAACTTGATTACGCTAACAACACAGTATACGACAGTTATCTGTTTCCCTCCAGCCTATTTTACTTAAACCAGAACACACAACGAAATGAGATGTGGAGAGTATATATTTTACAGTAGTGGTTGTAGTAGTTAAATCTCAACTATCCATTCTTATTGTGTAGGGGCTATGGGTACTACCCAGTTAGTTAGTTGCCCAGGCTGAAGTAGTAGGTGGAGCGCGGAACTCGACCCCGGGGCGGAGGGCTCATTAACTGTAAGTTGAGTGCTTAAGCCAGCCAATGTGCCACATCTGCGCATATATACATTGAACGGTATCTGTATAAGTGTAAGTGCAATCGCATGTCAAGAAAAAACAATGATGATATGCATGTATGTGTGTGTGGCCAATAATGGCGTTGCATGACTGAAGATAGTCAGTCATAAAAGGATATTTCCTGGCGAAGGCCATATCTTCTGTGAGTGAGATTATCCCTGCTGCTGCTGCTGCCGCTGCTGACTTCAACCCAATCCAACCAAAAACATGTGTCAAGTCTGACTACAAACCACTTCTCCTGGTTTACACATTACCTTGTTTTCATCAAAACTGAATGAGAAGAATTTAACTAACTAATTTATGGTTTGTATACTATGGGATGGGATATATTGTTATGCTTATTTTTGCAAGAGTTGGTTTCTACGGATTTCATTTGTTTTCAAAGTTTGACCATGGATTGATTGCAGTTACAGAGAGAGACAGACAGAGAGAAAGAACCTTTGGATACCATCAAGGAGTACTGGTACTGGACAGCTGTTTCGTCAGCCTAGTTAGTTTGTGTCTCAATCAATGGCCGGCCAACCCATGAATTCCAACTTCTACCAATTCTTGATTTGGGCACGACAGGCACCAGCTAATGTCATCGTTATGCAATAGTCCTCTGTGAGAGATAGGTGGCAGGCCAGATGATACATATATATATATCCACATAAATTGATCTATACATTCGGTTCCCTTCACAAATTTTGATAAAGAAAGGAAGACGAAATTTGCTGTATAAAATGATACCATCATTCTATTTCACAGGTTCTCATCAGCTGCCGTAGACTACCTGAAATTACAATGGTTACATAGATGATAATAACATACTTTAATGTTTGAGTGGTAGTAGAGAAGAAGGAAATACTATAAAATTGACTCATCCAAAATGTAAGCAGCATTACAATCTTTAGTTTAAGTTTTCATCGTCAATTTATACGATTTCAAAGTATAAAAGATGGGAGGGGAGGGGTAGGACAGAAAACAGAAAAAATTAATTAACAGGACAGTATTAGCTTGTAGCTTGTTCACATAGCAACTCGAAAAGCAAAAGCGGTTACAGTTTATGAGATTATAAGATTTGTTCAGTGAGTTGAGATCACTGAATTACATGACTAATTAATGTAATCAAAATCAAAATTCAGTTACCAAGGGAGTGAGAGGTTAATCACTTTCATTTGGATGCGTCAATTTTATAGTATTTCCTTCTTCTCTACTACCACTTAAACATTAAATTACGTTATTATCATTATCTATATAACCATTGTAATTTCAGGTAGTCTACGGCAGCTGATGAGAACCTGTGAAATAGAATGACGATGATATCACATTTTATACTGTAAATTGATTTAACTTCGTGTACTTAATACTTAAAAGAAAAAACTTTTCCGCATATTACTTTCTCCTCTTTTTGCTAAATCTTGTTTTCTTTCTTTCTTTCTTTCCTCAAGCCTCCACCATATTTATCTCCGGATTGTGCTGAATTATGCTTACGTGTACATCTCCGCTTTGTATGCTTTCATTTCAATTTGAGAGAAATCTTTCAATGTTGTTATTGTCATGAAAGTGATAATAGAAAAGGCTATAAGTCATTTGAAAATTTATGCCAACATTATTTTGAATGTCATTCAAAGCGAATTTATTCATGCCTGATTTGTATAAAACACCAGGAACAACTAAAATCTATTGGTATAAGTAATAATAATAATAATAGTCAACAGCCGAGTACAAGTTTCAGAGATGAAACTGGTAATAGTGGTAACACTGCCGTTATTCCTAATAATAATAATAATACCAGTTCTGTTCCAATGCCTGTCATCTCGAATAGGAGTTATACCTCTACAATACATCATGTGGGGGGTATGCATGTGATGAATAGGGAAAATATGCTTCTGCAACAACAACTGCAATATTCAACATCTTCACTTCAAACTTCTTCTGGTCCGGATTCTAATATGTTGAATTCATGTAAGTTATCTCACTTGGTGTTTTTTTCCCGTCTCTACATGTTTGTCTACCGTTGTTGTTGTTTTTTGTCGCTTTATAATGAGATCTTCTGATCTAAATACGTGTCTTTCAATGAATAATGTGTTATACTACTAATCTATGTTTTCTATGTTGCCTGCCTGCCCTCCTTGTATATCTCGAGTTGAGCGTATAGGGATTTAAGCTCTTACTGGTGTGTGTGTGTTTCGAGGCGTGCGGGGGTGGTGGGGTGGTCAACTAGCCTCACGCTTAACATTCCCTCTTTTTCGGGGTTACTTACTATTGTTTATTATTATTATTGTTCCCTTGGGTTCCTAGTGGAACATAGGGCTTCGGCTGCACGTCTCCATTTGCTTCTGTCTTCTGCTGTACTTCTCACTTGCATCCATGTTAATCCATACTGTTTCAGCTCCTCTTCACACGATCTCCTCCATGTCACTCTTGGACGTCCCACTCGCCGCTTCCCTTTCGGGTTCCACTCGAGCGTTGGCCTGACATGCGATGTCACCCAGCGGCCTCCTCAGCGAGTGTCCAATCCATCTCCATTTTCTCCTGCATATTTGTTGAGCGATTGGTTCCTGTTTTGTTTATTCCCATAGTTTCTTACTATTGGCTAGGCCAGATTTAGGCGTACACCAGCTGGGAGTCGAACCCAGACTTATAGCGTAGCTGTAGAGAGAGAGAGAGAGAGCGGGTGACAGACAGACAGATTATTCTATGACTGAGGCATCACCGATGTTATTCATCTAGACACACCGTAATTAAATTGCAGACGACTTTTTCCAATCTCTGAGGTAGTTTAACATTGTGATTACTCACACAACTTTCAGCCAGTCAGTTGTGGGTTCGTATTCCACTACAGCTACCTACTGACAAGATTCGTCAGTAGTGTATATACAGAGACGTTAGTTGGCACAAAAATATCAAACATGAGGGAGATGGATTCGACGTCAAAGCGAGCGAATGAACCAGTATACTGTGTGAGAAAACATGGGAGACACGAAAAGAAGGAGACAAAGAGACACAATACAAAGTGGGATTGGGGGATGGACAGAAGTAGCACAACACGGAAGATCTGTGTAAATGATGGATTTCATACAAGGTGTATATCATGATTCCCCTATATGCGCATATTGAATTGCAAATGTACATTCCGTTGCCAACCACTGTTGTGCTGTGCTGTTCCCCCTTCTTATCCTGGCAACTGGTTGGGCAGTAATATCTCATCTATTCCCACGCAATAATCGTGTGTGTTTCATAACTTGTAAAATGACAAACGACTTCATCAGGGCAGTTGAGTTTCAACAATGATGAGTGATAGTTTTGCATTAGTTTACAGATTACCTTTTCCGTCAACTTATTGTCTTGCACTGACCGATGTTTCGATTGCATATAAGCTGGATTGCAGTGATTGCTAGTTTTAACCTTATCGCGACAGCACTATAGTTAGAATAGTTTGATCGAGTGGTGACTGTTTCCCATACTTATTCACATGATCCCCACTGGCGTTCACCGTGGAGGTTTTTGTACACCAACAATTGAACTTGGAAATAGCATAGATGAAGTCATCTCTGTATGTGCCAATAGACCTCTAATTATCCTCATGGTGGTCAAGTATAGGTGGTCGGCAGGTATTTTTAGTTCACAGCGGCTAGACTTTACTGGCTTATGTGTATTAGAACTATGCGCAAGAAAGCGTTTTGTTAGACAAGGTGTGTGTGTGTTTGACAGCCAGTCTAACATTGTGGTGGTAGCCTCGTTGCTTAAACGAAGACATCAATTCATTGATTGTCAGCCTGGGTGTTGAAAGGAGGTGGCATGCAGTCTAACTGAGAATGTAGTCACCAATACACGACATGAGTAGAGTGCATCAGTCTCATATCGAAACCCCCAACGGATTACTATTACCAGACAGATGCACCGCAGTGTTGCTTATCACTGTCTAGTATTTCTTGTGTAATAGTGTGTAACAATTATTATCTCTCCTCTTCAAATATTCATTTTGTTGTTTTCGAAATTACAGGATTGATCATGAGCTGTCTGACAGTAGTTGGAGAACCAGTTGTTTCGTCCTAGTTTGTGAGTCTTCATCAGTATGCATCGGGACTCAGACCCAGCAGTCTCCAGTTGCGAGGTGAACTCGTAGACCCCGATGGGTGAGTTGAGTACTGATGAAGAGTCGCAAACTAGGCTGACGAAACATCTGTCTGGCAGTACTTCCAGCTGGTTTTCCATTGGTCCTCTTAACTAATATCAATCTGCTCGTGATCAATCGTGTAACAACCAATCAAATCTCTGCTGGCTAACACTTGATAGTTTTCGAAATTATTTAGACTTGGTTCAAATCATCTGTACCTCTGTACTTTCCCCCGTTTTTACATCATAATTATTTTTTTTTATATTCGTGTTAAATTTATGTCATCTTCACTTTGTCTTGTTGTCGGCATAAAATGCCTTGTTTAGCTCATGATTTGGCCAACATTTCCCTTCCACGGATAGAAGAACTAACGCTGCTTGAAACATCTTCATTTGAAGAATTAACGTATCATATGAGAGTTGTTCATGGTGCACATACGCCTAGTTCTATCAATTCTTCGACTGCTACTATTCCTCCTCTTTCTGCATGTTCAAGTGAATCTCAGACTGTGTTATTACCATCCGCATTGGTCAACTCAACACAACCAGCGATAATCACTACGAATTTATTAAACACTACAAGTCTACGTCTTCCTTTGTCTTCTTCTTCTTCGTCGTCTACTATTACTACAACTCCTAGTAGTCATAGCAACGCTTTTGTAAACATCAATGGGGTCCCGGTGGTCTATAGAAATCATGATAATAATTATAATGCCAGTGAAATACGAGTGAATTCAGATTACTCTACAAGATTTCAGTGCATAGAGTGTATGAGATTTCTTGACACAAGAGAGGAGTATTTTCGACACTTCAGCGTAAGTGATGAATATTTTTTTGATTACAGCTTGATTCCACACCGTATATTTTGGTACAGGTATGGAATTTTCAGCATATGATACCGGTAGCCCAAATTTTGAAGGCCAACCATAGATATCAGGTGTGCGTCGGCAGGGGATCGAACCCCGGACTATGTGCATGGTCGACGAGAGTCCTAACCACTGTGCCACCGACGCACTTTTGTACTTTTATATTGCAATGTGTCTCTATGTGTGTGTGTTGGTTATCGTTTCATTTCATTATGTGCAGTATATATATATATATATACGTTACGTAATAAATTCTTGGCTGACCTTGTGCCTGTCAGAGTTCCTCGTGGTTTATTCTTTCTGGCCAGTTGTTATCCAGTCTGTCTGTCTGCCTATCTAATTGATGCGGAGGAAGACATGTGTTGACGAAAGTCTGCAGCCTATTTGATGCCAATTCCCTGAAGTACATAGAGGCGCATGGAATTGTGACACCCTAGTGTTATAAAACTGTGATTGTTTTTTTTTCTGATTACTTTAAATGTGCACAGTGATTTCAGAGTAGTGATCGACTGTCTTGCTTTCCCCCCCCCCCCCCCCAATGTATATAACCCTGGCTTTGCTATCGTCATTTATAGTGTACCTCTGGGTTGAAACAGTGATGCTCAGGTCAGATGATGACGCTACAATTAGAAGGGATACAGCAATAAAGCCACTTTGGATATTGAGCAACACAGTTAGCTACAGCGTACATGAATGTAGTCTTTCAGTTTTATTCAGCGAAAATCAATGTTTGGGACAATTGATTATTGAAATATGTAACAGAACAGTTTCGAAGTATTATTGGTTTGTAGGGCTGATATCGGTTAGAGAACCATTGGAGAACAAGCTGGGAGTACTGGACAGTTGTGTTTAGTCAGCCTAGTTTGGGAGTCTTCATCAGTACGCATACACCGCCAGGATATTACGGATATAAATATAAAACTTGGGCAATGTGGTAGAATATAACTCCATTATAGATAAGATTTCATTTCGATAAATGACACAGTGTAATGCAGTTATATAAACTGATGACCACGTTTCAAGCACAAACTATTGCCACTCATAATCATATCAAGGCATTACTCATACAACTTTTTTCCTTCATTAATATACATCATCAGTTAGATATTGGAGTAAAATTCAATATGAGATAACGTACATTCAGAAATAATAATACGAGTGTTATTGATCAATTACAATTAGATGGGAAATAAGACGAGTGTTTCTATAGTCATAATAAGTTACTTGTTCGAATGTTTTGATGTGCTTGAATTGAAATAGAATTTTAAGATTATTTATTATCCTCCTCTGATCTGACTGGAGGTAATAATATCTTCCATATCTCTGGTATTTGCATTTAGTCATTTCTGTTGCTTGTGTTGGGTATAGACTCAATGAACCAGGATTCCGTAATCAACCTCTCTCTCCACCTACCTATATCACTTTTTAGAATTTTGACTCTGTCCCACACACCCTATTGCATGTGTGGTTGTGTGTTAATTCATGCAGTGCAATTGCTGAGCTTTTTTCTAAATTATTTATCTTCTCGAGGTCAACCATTCTGCCCTTAGCTAAATTCTTATGTTCTGATAATCTCACTACTCCTGATCTACTAGTCTAATTGACCTATGTAGTTGACCTAATTCACAGTCATTGCAAGTTATATTGTAGTGAGAGCTGCCTGTAGCCAAAATTGATGGACAGTAATTTACGTAAAAGTGTATGTCCCCAATATTGGTCTTGAGAAAAATGAGAACAAAGACTTTGCGTAGGCGGATACAGTTAACATATAGATGATCTGACATTCACGAAACAGTCACAAGAGATGTAAGGTTAACTTTTAGTGAGAAAACAACCAATCAGAAGACTGTTTTTCCGCTGACAATAATCTATAATATGTACATGAAAATCTATAAATGTGTGATGATTTCCATAATATACGATCTGTTGCCTGGCCCTTGTCTTCTGTTGTTACAATGTGGTGAGAGATGGCTGCTAGTCAAATTGGTAGACAGTAATTGACGTCGATGTTTATGTCTCAAATATTAGTCATGTGAAAACAAGGTCAAAGATGGACAGCAGACTTTGCGTAGACGGATACAATTAGCAGATAGATGATCTGACACTCAAGAGACAGCAACAAAGAGATGAAAGGTTAATTTTTTAGTGAGAAACAACCAATCAGAAAACTGTGTTTGTCAGCTAACACGAAAATCTATGTGTTGATTTCATTAATAAAGAATCTGTTGTCTGACTCTTGCCTTCTGTCGTTACAACAATATTATGTTGTTTAATCGGGTCAACCTACAGGGTCCTTTAACGTATAAAGCTTTTCCTACCTGAGTGAGTGAGTGAGTGAGTTTGTAGGTTTGAATGCCACCAACCTAATTCCTGCTTTATTAAGAATCCCACCACGTAGGGGCTGGTCTCAGATGTCCCCTCCTTATATAGGGTATAACAGTGGATGACTTATATTCTCTCTTATTTATGTTACCATTATTAGTTTCACAATTTTTATTTTTATTTTCTTCTTCTTTAAATAATCTAGGCTGAACATCGATTAGCTTGTATTCATGAAAACTATTATCGATGTTTTGGTTCGTGTAAACGTCTTTTCCCAAATATTGATGTTTTTCGAGAACATTTATCTGTGTGTCAGCATGCACAAACTATCTTTCAGTCAACATTTGGATATTCCTATACTTATAGTAATGATAATAATGACAATAATAGTAATAATAATAGTAATCAGGATATACTTAATTTATTGGACCCAGAGCATGCAGATGACAACCAACAGCAACAGTCTGTCAGAACCTCTTCATCATGTGAGAATAATGCATCTTCTTCTTCGTCTGCTGCTGCTTCTTCCAGTCATGGAATGAATAATGCATCAGTAATATTTAGTCGAAAATTATGCTTCTGTGCATACTGTGGTATTGGACCAAGGCGAAATATATCAACGACTGGGGGTATTGTTCATCCTTCGTCTACAATGATAATAAGAAACACATCGACAACAACCACAACAGCAGCAGCAGCAACAACAACAACTACTACTACTATGACTTCAACTTCTTATTCCTTGTGTATGGATCATCCACATGGACAGATTACATCTGATTCAGTAATGCTGCCTGCAGAATCAAATGGATCAAACGAAGGTATATATATATATATATATATATATATATATAAGTATTATTATTTATTATTGTATCCTTTAATTCCTAGACGAACATAGGGCTTCAGCCGTGCGTCTCCATTGCGTTCGTAGAGTTTTCACCTGGCTCCATGTCTGCCCACACGTTTTCATCTCTTCACATGACCTCCTCCAAGTCACCCTTGGACGATCAACTCGCCGCTTCTCATTCGGTCGGTTTCCACTCAAGGGGTTGTCTAGTGATGTCACTTGATGGTTCCCTAGGGGTATGGCCAATCCATCTCCATTTCTTCCTGCCTATTTGTTTCACAATCGGTTCCTGGTCGGTTCGCTCCCAGAGATCTTTGTTGCTGATCTTTTCTCGCCATTTGATCTTGAGTATTGAGCGAAGACAACTGTTAATGAAGGTCTGTAGTTTGTTTGAGATGCTCTTTATGACGCACTGGCCAAGTCTCTGATCCGTATAGTAGCACTGACTGACTTCACATTGGAGTTGAAAATCCGGATCTTATTTTTGATGATGAGTGTTGTTGACGTCCACACAGACTTGAGAGTAGTGAAAGCTTGCCTTGCTTTCCTGATGTTCCTCTCTTTGATATCCTCATCAGTTTCGCCTGTAGTTGAAACGATGCTTCCCAGGTAGGTAAAAGAGGTTGTTTCTTTCCGGTTCCTCCCATTTATGCTGATCGTTGTCTGTTGTTGTTGTTGTTGCTGTTGGTGGTGTTGCCCAGGAATCTTCATCACCTCTGTTTTCTCTATGTTCACCTGAAGTCCTATCTCTGAGGGAGTATTTTCTGCCGTCCACCCTCTCATTTCTGGTTTTCATTCGTTTGCCTTTTTCCGACTGGTGGAACATATGAGAGCTTTAAGCTTTCCAAAGTTTAAGCAACAACTTAAAAATCCCCCTTCATTGAGTCATATAAAAAGGGAGGGTGAGGAAACGTTTAACGAAGAGTTACTTTTTACATCGATATCACTCTTAAGCAGTGTACAGTCGCATGTATATATATATATATACATATATATATATATATATATATATGACTGTAGTGTGCTCCGGTGACACAGTGGTATAATGCTCGCCAACCTGTCAGGTGTTTTTGGATTCAATCCCCGTCCACCGACGCACTCATTTACCTCGCTAAGCCAGTATATTAAGACTGGTAAGGGAGAAGGTTGGGCATGAGGCAAGATCACCTCATATATCCTCTTAGATGACTGTGAAGTTCCGTGGATGGCTGGGTGGGTTGCTTTAGCTTACTGTTCAGATTCGATCAGATGTTCGAGGATAGAGCTACGGGGCGACCTTTTTTTCTCCTTTGTATAATCATGAGGGTAAGTGTTTGATTATGCGTTTGGATTGGAAACACTTAGTACGACAGACATGCCTAGTTCTAAATAAGTGGGTGAATCGATAGATACCATATTGATGAGGTCAGTCAGCAGTGGCAGGTTATCCTTCAAGTTCATGCGAATCATTGGTTTCTGGGGGGAAGTTGGACGAAGTTTCAACCTTGAGGGTTTCCTTCAGTGAGCGGGACAGGTGATTTCTCAGTGTTTTTCTGTCGATGATTCTCTATTAAATTGTATGAATTCAGGTGGAGAGGTATTTTAGGAGTAGAAAGTGTAGACGGTTTTAGTGGTTTATGCTTCATGGATTTCGTGGTGAAACGTCCTTGTTAGGCATTTCTAAGATATGCAGATGACTTCGACATGCGTTATCCCATGGTTGGTTATATTTTTATTTGACTCACAGTGCCAGGAGGTAGTCAGAAATCCTGTGACCAATGAAATCCCCTGGAAACCAACGATTGAAAAACTAACTATTAGCTGTCGGTCGGTCGATCGTTGTTGTGTCAGTTGAAAATGTTGTCAACGGTACAGGTGCATTGTCATCTTCCCGACTCTTATCGAATCTTCATAATGCTTCGTAGAATCATAGATGCTGAAAAAAAACAGTTTCAAAGTGATGATGATGAAAGACCACACACACTTACTTGTCTAGTCTGTCTCTTGCGTACTCAGGAATTCTCTGATTAATTGGGTTTTTTTCCTTACATGAGAAAGGAAAGCTTTTATTTGAAATGCAATGCATGCAAAGTTGTTGTTGTTGTTGTTTTTATATATTTTATCATTGTTAACGTTAATTTAATAAAAATCTCAATCTCCCTAACTGTTAGTGGTGTTGTATCACTACTGTACTGTTGTACTATTTTGTTTGTTTGTTGGTTTTTTGTTCAGTCACACAAAGTCGAAATAACGAAATCAATCTAGGGTTACAGAATCAAGATTCAACAGCGGACAATGGTTATATTTCTGATTGTTCTCATGCATCAAACAACAACAACAACGCAACTCAACAGCTACAGTTACAGCCACTGCAACAACAAGGACAACAACACGAATCTCCTACTAACCGTGACACTCCATTCACTGCTCGATACTTTACAGATTTGATGAAGTTACAAAATCATGAAAGAGACTCGCACTTTTATGATTGTCGTAACTTTATTGCTTGTCCATGGTGTCATAAACAGTTGTCATTTTCTAAGAAGGAGAATTCTAATGGTACTTATGAACATTTATTATCACATATTCATAAACACCGGTAAGTTATTTTTACTTAGTTATTTTTTTTTAATTTAACAAAACAAAATCTATGATGAGGAGGGGGGAGCATTTGATTTGTTTTTCACGTCTGACCACGGATTGACTGATTGATTGATATCATTTAGAGAACCATTGCGTAAACCTAGACCAGCTGGGAGTACTGGTATTGAACAGCGCTTTCATCAGCCCAGTTTGTGACTCATCGGCAGTTTGCGCCCACCATCAGGGCTGGAACACGCTTGACCTTCCAGTAGTTACAAGTTAAACTCGTAGACCATTCAGCCCCTCGGAACCGACTTAAAGGCCAGCCCATGAATTCTAACTTCTACCATTGAGTCGAGTCTCAGTGGTTGTCTAGTAGTAACTGGGAGGTGCTGGATTGGAAACCTGGTGGGTGGGTGTGCTGTTGATTAGTCGCGGAGTAGGACGAAGCGGCTATCCAGTACTTCCTGGTTTTCACCGGTTCTCCAAATGATTTCAATTCGTGATTAAACTTGAAAAAACATCCTCTTATGTTGTCACAGCTTGTCATTTGATTACAGCTCACTGAGTGAAGGTAACAACAACAACAACAACGTTGGTTTAGTAATAGTTAACTGTCAGTCGGTAGGTCCTGGCTTCGACTCGCATTCCATCTACTTTAAACTGAGCAACTAGACAGTCCATAGAGTAATTTGTCCCCGATAGTTGAGTTGTAATCTAACTGGGTAGAAGACTGAGATGTATTATTCAACGTCTGCAATTCATTCTAATAACTGATAAGGATGATTCATGCTGTCCCTTCACTCTCCTCGGCGTACAATAACCAACCAACCACTGATCGTTTTGAATATGTGTGTTTAGGTAATCATATAGAGTTCTGTAGTTCAGTGGTCTGCACTTAAATTTCAGGCAGCTCTATGAAATCTAGGTTTCGTGCTTATTCACAGTTGTCAGGTGGCGTTATTCTGCTGTCCTGGAGGAAACAATGTTCGCGGTAATGTTCAAGAGACATTATCGTCGAATCTAAAGAACAGCGACCGTGAAGTGCAAACGCATCAGTGACTTTGAAGGCATACCATCCCTCGTATTGCATAATCTGTCGTTATTAACACCACCCCAGTATGAACGTGGTGCGACACATTGAGGTGCAGATTTTATCCCGATCTCACTTTTAAGTATCGTTTGGATAATGGGTGGTTAGAATTATTCTGTGGTATGCCTATTCATATTAATTTTCAACGGGGAGTTTAATCATATCCTTCAGTTCTGAGCAAGTCTGATTACTATCGCAACAGCACCAGAAGCACTCTCATCCAAATGCTCACTAATTAATAAGTTATCTTTTCAATCATCTAGACATCCAATCCCATCCTATCCCATCTCCATACTCAGATTATTCATTCTCTTCTCGAGTCAGTCAGTCAGTCAGCCACAGAAGTACACAGCCATTTATCACTTGAGGCATTATTTGAACAGTTTACCTTCAATAAAACTATGCAAATTGAAGTTAAAAATCAAACAGAGAATAGAGAATCTGGACTGCCATAATATGCATCGAATTCTATCTGTGAAGAGATACAATTTGTGTAAGATCGGGCAATATGATCAGTCAAAGTGTAGGGAATTCCACTTTAACTTGTCCTCTCTTAACGGAATGGAAAGAATCATATATATATATATATATATATATATATACAGGTGCTCTTATTCTATTTGACAGGAAGTGTTTCATGACGTCGTTGCTCTGCATCAGTTACAGCCCGAAGAATGAGTGAAATCCACTCTTTGTGTAGGTTCCAGAATCCGCCACATGAAAGCTCCTAAAGAAGAAGATGAAGCGTTGAATGCAGATGGTGTTAAAGTTGCAGATGTAGGCGAATTTCTACTGGATAAATGAGTTGGAAGAATGATTGAGATGGTTGTATTGTTCTGCAGTTACCAAGTGATGATCCTGTGGTGTGAGAGCTGGCTACAAGCCGAAATTCTAAACAACAATATACATCGGTGTTCACTTGCTGAATCGGGGTCATGAGAAAAACAGTGACAGAGCCTAACCTTGAGAAAGTCACCAACCTGGGCAGATACGATTTGCAGATATATGACCGGATTGTCTAAGAAACGGCCACAAAGAGATGACAGGATAACCTTCAGCAAGAAAACAACCAATCAGAAGACGCTCGCCTCTTCGCTAACAATAACGAATAATAATGTTCATAAAAATCTATAAATACCTCTTGATTTTTCCAATAAACTAGCTGTAGCCTGCCCCTTGTCTTTTGTCATTACAATTCTACACTATTTCGTGGGGCAGTTATAATAGTCGAAGAGTTCAAAGACCTACGAAGTACCATTTCAGTCAGTGGTCATGTTCTTTTCTCTGAAAGAAAGACATTCCAGTTTTTTAATTTATCACTCACGCTGCATATATTTATTGATTCTACCAATTATCTACATGAGTCGACATTGTTGTTCATTATTCTTCACACTACGGGTGTCATCAACTTTTCTGATTTTTCACGTACTTCTTTGCAGCGACTTGACTGATTTCGAAATTGATCACGATTTGACAGCAGTTAGAGCATCTTTGAAAACTAGGGTGTGTTGTACTGCTGTTTCGTTGTTGTTTGTGTACCTTAAGCTTACACACCTATGTTGCCGCCGGGAATTGGACCCGGAACGTTCTGGATTCAAGGCGAGCTCATACACCATTTAACCATTGGGACAAAACGCAGTTGTCCATAAATCTAACTCCAACCATTCGCGATATATATGGCGCAGTCGCCAGTCAATATCTTCAGCGAGCAGTTAGGCTCACACAACTCGGTGGGACGCTCTGGTCATGACCTCTTCAATTAAAACGTCGGCCAACTTCATGCTGTAATGAGTCATCAGTGAGCACGGAATTGAATTTCAAGTGTAGGTTTTAAGGATTCGATTGATTTAAACATTGAGCTGGCCTTGTGTAGGCTTGGAGGTCGTGGGTCCCATCCTCGGTGAGGACATGGATTTGCACTGTTGCATTGTCCCAAACAAGGAAAATAATGGCTATCCAATGCTCCTTGGTTCTTTCATTTTGTTATGGATTACTGTTTTCAATATCAGGCGTGTGGAGGACTAAATACAGCTGGAGTTTAGACTTTAGCTCCTTAGTGGAACTTTGGGCTTTCCAGGCTTGAGCTTTGGATTTTCAATAGCAGCAGTGCTGTTTGTTTTTCACGATGTGGGGTTGCTGGCCTCACTCACACCCAAACTTCCCGCTTTTTTACCGGGCTTACTGCCGGTTAAGCCAGTTCTAGGAGTACGTCAGCTGGGGATCATCGATCGAATCCCGGACCGCATGGGTGATCGATGAGTATTCTACCACTGAGTGAGTTGGTGGAATACCTGGGTGTTTATCCAAGTACCTCCGGCATGCTAAGAAGCGGGCTTTGTGCCACTTGACCAAGTGCGCCCCTACACAACTTTAATTGTATGTCATACCCTTCCATTTTATTGTGCTTAATGTGTTAACCAACCTTACCGTGTGTTGTTTTTCCTGTTTCTTAATTTCTTCTAGTATGGCTACTTGGTATCTTGCACGAACACGTCAGTGGAATGAAAATGCTAAAGGTTAGTTTTATACAACAAAAAAAACAAACACTATTGATTGATAATTCATTTTGGAATGAATGAAGGATGGCACAGTTTACAAATTTTATCACGGTTTGCTTTAGAAATAATCGTGCAATTAGAACTGGTTTCTTTTAATACTCATTTCAGACACCTTAGTAATGAAGGAAATGTGATCATTTTGATTATTCCAAAGGGAACCCATTGGAGTGAATGGTCGCTTCTGCTATGTGTCTATGTAATTAATTGGTCAACCGCGAGTTCGATTCTATGTAACGTCATCGTCGCATCTTAAGTAGCTAGCCAGAATTTGTCAATGAAGAGCTCGAACCTTATACTGACGAAACGGACGTCCCAAGTGTGTGCATCACTTTGATCACTGGGAAGCTGTTCCGTCCTACTTCCATAATAATTGACCAGTCTACACCCGGGAAATACAAATTGACGTAAATAAACAGTTATGACATCCTGTTTAAATTTCCTTATAGGAGATTGATTGAGTTTCCTAGAATGCTGTGTGTATACGAGCTGTTCACTTTCATAAAAACTTTTGTTTGGCAGTATGTGTTATTCCATATGTCAACCCATATAACTGGTGGTTCCGGTGAACGTTGTGTGCTTTAGGAAGTGTGTGGGTGGTTGTCACTTGCCGACTACCCACACCATGAAATTTGATTTTTCCTTGGAATACCTGTAAAAGTAAGAGCATTAGTGTTGTGTAACCTCAGAGCCATGGAGGCAGCAGTTTCAGACTGGTCATACATGACCTGTTTGAATTTATGTTTGGATCGCCGTTATAAAAATCAGAATTTACAGTCTTCAAGGACGATCTTTTCTAGCCTCCTACTTACCACCCAGAGTGGAAAGGTAACATTGTTGACTTGCTGGTCATCTGAGGTAAACTCCTTTCTCTCCTGTTGACATCTCTACTCGGCAGCAACACGACTTTGCCAAACCAGCGTAATCCGTCTTTGGGTCATTGCGATATATGTGCAAGCCTGACCACCACTTCAAGGTTGCAGCTATCGGTCAGGATACTCCGATATACTTGTTTTTTTGGTTATAGCTTGAAACCACACAGTATTTTTGGTACAAGTATGGAATTCTCAGCATGTGATATCGGAAGCCCAAATTTTCCAGGCCGACCATTGATATCAGGTGTGCGTCGGCAGAGGATCGAACCTCGGACCATGTGCATGGTCGGCGAGAGTCCTAACCACTATGCCACCGACGCACTTGTTGGGGAATAGGACATATTTGCCTCTTTTAGTAGTAGTGTAACAGGAGAAGACAAGGGCCAGGCAACGGATGATTTATTAAGGAAATCAAGCATATTTATATATTTTCATGTACATTATTATAGATTAGTTAAGCAAACAAACACAGTCTTCTGATTGGTTGTTTCTCACTTAAAGTTAATCTTTCATCTCTTTGTAACTGTTTCTTGAATGTCAGATCACCTATATGTTAACTGTATCCGCCTACACAAAGTCTGCTGTGGTCGGTTTTGAATCAGTCTTTGTTCATATTTTCTCACGACAAATATTGAGAACGTAAACATTCACGTAAATTACTGTCTACCAATTTGGCTAGTAGACTGCTCTCACCACAGTAGTGTCAATATCATTCACACTTGCATTAGTTCTCTATGCGATTACACTGCTTAATTAATCGGCTTTTCAATGGTCAGATCATCTGAGAGTCTATGATTATTGGTAGGAGATAGAGTATATGATAGAAATGATGACGATTGTGAAGGTTGAAAATACCCATGCAGTCGTATCGAAGAAAAAGCGTTCACAGAAGAGTTACTCTTTTCGGCGAAAATGAAATAAAAATTAAGGTGTCCCACTACCAGATCTTCATACCCCTAGTCCCCAGTTTAGTAATCTGCTTCTCAATGCTACAGTGTGCTTCAATTGATGATTGCTTTTTTTTACAAAAATTGCTTCTCTTGTCATTTTCGTCTTCACCTTCGTGTAGCTCTACCACATTGTGTATGTGGATTAGCCTTACTCGATTCTCCACTGGCTATTTTATCGCATGCTGGAACACACTTGATACATGCAGACAAGTACAAATCATCGTCTATTGTTCTACCGGATCCAATACAACTGCGTCGATTAAAGCGTCAACATCCGCATGCATCATCGTCATCTTCAAATAATCGACAGTATTCATCAGAGGAATTTCTATTCCCTAAACCTAATGATCATATTCCGTGTTGTATAGAAGTTTATCGACATGTAAGTTAGATTTCCTGCTTTATGAGACATCACCAGTCTTGTTGTTCTATATTTTGTTTGTGAGTGTGTGTGTGTGTGCATGATTTGTCGTTAACCTCTATTTTTGTTTTGTTTTTTCGATAACTATTCAGATATTTCTCTCCGTTTTTATAAAGATGATAACAGCTTTATTCTGAAATATGTGTTCGTGTGTGTGTGTGTGTACACACAACACAGTATTTTCGGGGTGTGTTTTTATCTCAGGGTGGATATTTACTACTTGTGGAAAATCTTCAAGTAACGTGATAATCGTAACAGATAGTCCCGTTAAGGCATTAACAACAACAACAACAGCAAAAATATCGCGAGATGTGATGTCATCCCGTAGTTTGTTCACGATCGCTTAACAATCAGCTTTACAATTGTTCACAATGTACACAAAGTTCTGACTTTATGTTATGGTCTCGTGTCCCTTTGGGTCATTGTTATTATTATGATTGTTCCCTTGGGTTCCTAGTCGAATATAGGGCTTCAACTGCACGTCTCCACTTGCTTCTGTCTTCTGCTGTACTTTTCACCTGCATCCATGTTAGTGCATACTGTTTCAACTCCTCTTCACACGATCTCCGCCATGTCACCATCTACTCATCACAAGTGCTCACCTTTAAACGTGAAATGGACGTTGTTAGTACATAATAGTAATAAATCTTTCAAATAAGTTTTAAAGGAAAAAGGGAACGGAAAACAACTGGAAGATATGTTGTAATCACAAATAACATCAACAGTCTTAATCGATGGTAGATTAGTGAACAAGGAATTAACACTAACAGAATACACCACCTTCATATCTTCTATGTTCGCATCTACAAGACAGTCAACAAGTTGAAATGCATCCTTCATTCAAAGCAAACTTACACAATTCGAGTTTTGCTTATAGTGGGCTGGTAGAATTTGGACGTCAAATTAGAATTCAAGAGCAATTTAATCGGGTCACAGTGTGGCTGAATGGTATACTAGCTTGCCTTGTAACCTGAAGGTTCTGGGTGTTCGAACCCCCTGGCAGTGTGTGCGTCCTGCCGATGATTCCGAAACTAGGATGAAACAGCTGTCTGGCAGTACTCCTTGTGGCTGGTTTTCAATGGTTCTCTAACTCTGATATCAATCCGTGATCAACTCGTAAAAAGTCAAACTAAAAGTTTTCAGTTGACTGGAGAAAATGCGCTGAATTAAATTTTTGAACTTTGTACTTTTTATTTTAATAATGAAAAAGAACATGAGTTAAAGTACACTTTTGTACAACTTGAATACCACTGAAAACCACACACACACACACACCAGAACGATTTCAAGTTAAAAATTAACAAACTGCATCGATGAGTCATGAGTTATGTTGTACACCTTCACACTAAAGAAGAAATGTTGTGTAAACAATCTAGTAGGCTGGAGTAGTACGTCGAGATATTTTTGAGTCAATAATGAATGTTGTTGTACATACTTTTGACCTTCAAAGTTTCATTTCTTGATTTCTTTGATTATTCTTCATTTTTGTCAAATTTTTAATAAAAAAAAGCAACAAACAACACATTCTTCTAACCTCACCGACCGCCCCCCCTCTTCGACACCTTTTTAAAGCGCAAGACATAAAATGTCAACAATAATTAGATTACATTAGATGTACTACAGGCTTTAGTCTAATGTGCATAGCTTGTTTCTATGTATATGTATATCTGAAAGAGTTGACCAATGACGCGGTGAGTGTTGTTGCTATGTGTGAATAGCTAACGATGAGTATAATAATAGCAGTACAATAATAATGATAATAATAATAAGGTCAAGGATAATAAAAGTACAAACATTATTTGTTTTTAATTCAGCTTTGATATTACAACCAAAATATTTAGCTTCTGTTGTCATAACAACATGCTGGCTCCTACCTAGTACTGACGCATCTAGTGAGTGAGTGGGTGTCAGTGGGGACACCACCAGTCACTAGGGCATGCAGATATATCCAGTTGATGATGATGATGATGAGTCCTAAATGGGGGACGAAATGAGCATCCAGAATAAATTGATTATTAATCACAATCATTTATTTGGACATCTGATATTCAACTTAGTAATATAAATATTTATGCATGTTTTCAACTGTTCTCTATTTTAACAATCTATTCGAATATACTACTAAGCGGAATTTTGATGTTATAGTGACTCAGTGTTATTTAAAAACCGTTAATGTTGTCAATGACTACCATTCGTTAAGTATTATGGATGTATACGATACTGTGGAAACTGAAGAAGTTGTCGGAATGAATATTCTTTATTCACTAATCAGTCTTGGAGAAATATATATGAGACAGGCATCTTATATCAATCTTAAGGTATCACTGAAACACTGGGTGATTTGTTGTTCTACTCATATTTCGGAGTTGCCTTCTTGGCATATATGCTGTGATCTATGTATGTACTGGGAATCCTCTATGTGAACGGATGGTTGTCGTCTGTGTATCTCACCTGAGGTCAGCATCGCTTCAACAATACTATAGACAGAATGAACGAGAATATCAAAGGTAGCTAGGATCCACAGGGTAGGCTATATCTGGAGGAGCACATCTAGGGTGGCAGCAGTATACCTCCGTTTTATGACTGTAGATAATCTTATATGTGGGACTTCACTGGCCAGGGGAACAATTGTTTCTTTAACTGTGGTCAGTTTCTCTTTGTTGTTGTACACACTACTCATGTGTCTCCTTGCAAATTTACTAAAATAACGCTTTTGGACCAGCACACTTCAGATGTACACACTAATTCATTGTCTAGGATGTCATCGGTACAGAGCCATCTTCCTGTATTCTTGAGGAATCCGACTTTGCTATCATTAACTGCGCTAATCATCTTAATATATGTGTAAAGCTTGGGCACTGTGGTAGTAAGTAATTCGATATTAGCTTGTTTATTAGATGGATATATCACACAGTGAAACAGTATTATTTACTGGATGACACAGTTTCGAACAAAATTCATTGTTCATAATCATCTCATCAATTATAATCACACTTCTTGGAAACTTGAGTTTTATAGTTTTCTTTGTTCTCTCCTATTTGTCGTGGTAGGCGTGTTAGTAGAATTTTCCAGATATCGGGGTGGAGAGGTGTTGAATCCCTCCTATTACACGTATTCTCTCTCAGTTGATTCGATAAACAAAGCTTCTGTTATCAATCTCTCCCTCCAACCTGTGACATTAGATTTTGAAACTGTCATCCTATCCCATCCTATGCTGTATGGTTGTGTGTAATTGCATGTAGTGAGTGCTATAGCTGAACTATTCTCTAGATTTCTTATCTTATTCGGGTCAGCTATAGTACTACATGCAGTCACACACAACCATACAATAGGATGAGATAGGATGACAGTTTCAAAATCTAATGTCACAGGGTGGAGGGAGAGATTGATAACAGAAGCTTTGTTTATCGAATCAACTGAGAGAGAATACGTGTAATAGGAGGGATTCAACACCTCTCCACCCCGATATCTGGAAAATTCTACTAACACGCCTACCACGACAAATAGGAGAGAACAAAGAAAACTATAAAACTCAAGTTTCCAAGAAGTGTGATTATAATTGATGAGATGATTATGAACAGTAATGAATTATGTTCGAAACTGTGTCATCCAGTAAATAATACTGTTTCACAGTCTGTGTGATATATCCATCTAATAAACAAACTAATATGGAATTGCGCTAATCATCGTTATTACTGACATATCTTTTTTTCACCTGTGCCTTCCATTCTCTCACTGAAAAAAAATGACAATCTTTATCCAGTGTGCGTGCGTGTGTGTGTGCGTGGTGTCATTTTCATGCCGATCTAGAGAAGAGACACAGCTACCGTTTGAAATTGTGTGACTAGTTAGTCGGTCGGTTGGCATAGGAAATGAGACTGAATGCGCACTGTACAACACACCCACTGTGCTTCTGTGTTCTGATGGTGACCGTCTCATTTTAACAGGAAGAAGGTACACATTGTAAGAGACACACTTTTATGTATGTATGTATGTGTGTGTGTGTATAGTGTCTGCTTACTATTTGACCTAATTAGTGAAAATCATGCCATACTTTTGTGTCCTTAATTCACAGGACAACGATGCTGCATCCATACGTCCATCTATACAAGCACACACATACATACAAATATGTGTTCACGTTATTTGGTATAACATACTGTAATCATTATTATTATTATTATTTAAGTGGTGTGTGTATGTGTGTTCACTTTGAGTAGACTAAAGTCCTACTATATAGACAGAGAAGATATTCTCACCTCATATGACCAAATGAACACAGATACGTACGCTCACATATCTTGTTATTGTTGTTATTAAAAATAATAATAATAATAATATGTGGAATAGTACACAGTTCACAGGTAAGCGTACATACAAAAACAGAGAGAGAGAGAAAGAATCCAAGCGAAAGAAGAAGAAGAAAAAGCTTTCAAAATCACATTCAATCAATTAGTTGTAGAAATACTTTGGAATGAACAGTCTAATAGAGAAAAGTAATGCACTACTAAACTATTCAGAAAGACAATATACATAGACGATATATTCTCTTGCAAATCGACACCTACCCAGCCAGCCAGCTAGCCATTAATTCATTGATTTTATCAGTTAGTTATATAGAACAAAAGTATCACACCACATGAGTGATACACATACACTGTGATATGGCTAATAGTAGGTGGAATATAAAACAAAAATAATAAGTAGAATTTTTCATTGTTGTTGGAGTTGATCGGCACAGGAAGCCATGCCTAACGTAGGTGAGTTTCGTGCTTGTTGGCGTCTCTCCAATCTTGATGGAAGTCATATCGCTTTCGGAGCTGGGGCACATTCAAGTGGTACAGTGACAGACGTTATCACTGAGGTATTCGGCGTATTTGGCACTTTTATTTGGACCATGAAGTAGTAACCAGCATTGTATCATGCGTCGTCTATTCTTTCGTTTTATGCAGACTGAATTGCATCAAGTCAGTCAAGTTTGCAATGTGGCAATCGATCTGAATCTGAGATGGTACATGAATTCGTTCGCTTGACTAGGGTGCACGACAAGCACGAAGCGTAGGCTCAAGGAGTGGTGATGGCCACATTGCGAACTCGACTGATAGAATTCAGTCAGTTAGTCAGTCAGCATTAACACCAAGGGCTAAATGTTATGACATTAGTGTTACTGCCGCCTAGTGTCCAATAAAAGAATGTTTCCCTCACCTGTTTTTTCTTTCACAATCTTTGCTCTACCTCAGTGTTCATATGACAAAGATTACACCTTAGGCTGTACGTAATATATACCTTCATTATTTTTCTTTATCCTTAAGAATTTATAAATAATGTCTTGTGTATTATGTTACCTGACCATGTTATCACCCTAGACATGGTGGTATCGACGGTCTTCCGCATAATGAGTGTTCTTCCATACTTCTTAATGTGTAATAAAGATTGTTTGCACAGCAGCGCGGTCAAACCTATAGTAGTTGCCATCTTTGTGTAGGTCTCTTCTGCAGTGTTTGAGAGGGTGTGAAGGTGAATTTTGTTTTGCTGGCGAATAGGAGTTCGTAACAGCAGGAAGATGTTTCTCTTGGTTGGTTGGGTTATGTTGCCACTCAGCTCTGGTTAATTAGGAGGAGGTTAGAAAACGTTTACTCTATTAATTGTACACCCTGACTTACTTACTTACTCTGAGGTGAACAGCGGGTTTTAATCCGAATATGGGACTCTTGATCAGTACCTACCCACCGGGGCTAGTACCCAGGAGTTGCTGCTTACAAGGTGATCTTGTAGTTCATTCAGTCACTGATGGGACCTAATTCAACGGTATATGAATTCCGATTTCTGCTAATTTGTGATATATGGGGAATCGTGACCAGCGAGGTACACCAAGAAAGAAATGAGGTAAGAGAACAGTGAGTTATTCGCCTTATGACGACAATGGCTGGTCAGCTGGTGACTGAAGTACTCTATTTGTTCTGTTTGCAAGTTAATGAGTAGCACTTGAACGATTGTTTTGTTTTTCGGTGATTCCCTGTAAATCCGCTTAATCTTTCATTTTTTCTCTTCTGTTCTGTTTCATCATATAAAAAATTAAATGTAGCTACGATTCGGTGTTTCTCCAGGATTTGACGCCTACCTTTTAGAAGCAACGAAAGGAAGCTTAACCTTTACATGTCCTATTTGTTCCACAGTGTTGTGTACTCGTTGGGCCTTAACACAGCATGCATTTTCAGAGCATTGGGTAAGTGTTGGTTTTTCTTTTTGTGTTCGTGTGTTTCTTTCACCTTGTAATAATTCATTTTTAGTTTACCCATTTTGTCTATATCTGATTTAAAGATACTTTTCTCTGAAGTTAAGTAGCATCCATGGATAATGAATTGTCAGTTAGTTAGTTAGTCGATGTTTAATTCAAATTAGCCAACGGGTATATTCACATCACTTTGAAAACACTGCGAAGAGATCCACAGCGTTTATTTAATCAATACTTCTTAGTCTTTTGAAGACTTGGTTTTCACGTCGCACTCTATAAGCATTTACAACAGGCTATAGATTTATATATATCTGGTGAAGTAGGAGTTCCCCAGATGACTGATTTTTTTAAATGTTTGTTTTACGAACATTCGCGGTGTACGATAGACGTACTGTAGTTTCAGTTTAACGGCAAAACATATCGTCATAGCACTAAGCGTCCTCTCGGGCCTTCTGTCAACCGATTTATTTATGGCAATAAGTAGAGAAAATTATTTGGTGGATGGTGACTAGCAGTGGGATCTACCAGGATGCGCATTTCGTCCTATTTGAAACTCGTCTGCCAGCCGGATGTACCTGCATTCCACAGTGAGTGATGGTGTTCTCACCGAGGCTCGAACCCAGTGCCCGTAGTTTCAAACGTCAAACTGAGACCGAGCACTTCGGTGCAATCAATCGACAGGAAAATCTGAAATTGGATTAAGTAAATTAGAGAAAACTGTCCACTTGACATGTTAATCAACAAAATGGTTATTAAGACACCTGGAAAATCCCAATGCATTAAATCTAAATAAAAATCCATCATTATAATCCATTGCAAAGAACTTATTCATGTCAGGTGACAAAATCAATATGTAAGATTGCTTCGCAGTGATTCTCTATAGTTTGGTTTGTAAGGGTTAGTTATGTCTTTACGAGTATATCACGGATTGATATCAGAGTTAGAGAACCATTGAAACCAGCCACAGAGAGTACTGGACAGCTGTTTCATCCTAGTTTGGGAATCATCGGCATTACGCACCCACTGCAAGGGGGTTCGGACGCAGGACCTTCCGGTTACAAGGCAAGCTAGTATACCATTCAGCCACTGGGATCCGATTCAATGGCTCATGAATTCTAATTTCGACCAATTCCTGGGTTCGAATCCCAGCGGGTGTGCACTGCCGATGATTCCCAAACAAGGTTGAAACATCTGTCCAGTACTCCATACTGGTTTTCAATGGTTCTGTAACTGATATCAATCCGTGATCAACTCGTAATCACAGTTATTCATCACATAACTCTAATTCAAAGTTATTTAAGTTGACGGAAGTATATTGGATTAATCACATACTTCCTAAACTCTGTGTGCAGTCAAAACAATAGACTTAACACCTTCCTTTGCCTACGTTGGACTACTTGACCTATTTAAATATGATTGGTCATTAGTGAGTGTGTACTTTTATTTTATATAAGAGCGGAGTAATTTTGATGCCTTTTATTTGGTACCTGTGATATCCGTGCGAGTTGTCAAGCTATTGTAAATATCTCTGGTTGTATTTCTCTCGCCCCAATTATTTATTTATTTATTTATTATAGCTTGATTCCACATCGTATTTTTGGTACAAGTATGGAATTTTCAGCATGTGATATCGGTAGCCCAATTTTGCAGGCCGACCATAGATATCGGGTGTGCGCCGGCAGGGGATCGAACCCCGGACCATGTGCATGGTCGGCGAGAGTCCTAACCACTGTGCCAACGACGCACGCCGATGAAATCCTATTGGTTGTCAGTGTAATTAATGAGTGTCTGTCAAGGCCATTCAGAGCATTCATCTTATAGTATACACGAGCGCTGACTATCGTTTTTGCTGTTGACACGAGATAGTAAGAGCTCTCTGCGCCAGGTAGGTGTCTGTCTCCTCTTATCGCATCTTGCGTCTCACTTTCGGTGGTATCGTCTCGTGTAGTTGTTGCTAGTATTGGTTGCAGCAATGGGCATGCGAATCAACTAGGTAGGAAATTCGTCAAGGTAACTACAGGCGTATTAGTGGTCATATCAATGTATATATTAATATAGTAATTGTGAATTGGGAGGTTAAGTATAACTAACAGTTTCTACCGAAGAAACATCCTTTTATGAATATGGGTTTCCTGTAAACAGTAGTGTGTTTAACTTCGCATCTTATTTCCTTAATGTGGTGGAAGATTCGCTTCGTGAGTTTTAAAATCTAATGAAACAGGGTGGGTTGACAGACAGAGAGAGAGAATGATGACTGAAGCTTTGCTTATCGAATCGACTGTAAATACATGTAATAGGAATTCAGCACGTGTCCAGCCGGACATCTGAAAAATTCGACTACCCTTATGATGACGGCGAATAGGAAAGAATAAAGAAGACTATAGAGTGAAAGTCTCGAAGCTGTGTGATTATATAATTGTGATGTGATTATGAACAATAAATAAATTGTGTTCGGAACCTTTTCATCCGTTTACTATGTGATATATCTAATACACAAATTAATGTGAAATTCACTCCTAATAGTTTGAAAGTTTTTCGTTACTAGTTAGTTAGTATATGATAATCACTATAATAAAAGTCTTTATCCTCATTTCTATTCAATTTCACCATAGATGTACTAATGGATTTAACCCTAACTCACTTCAGAGACTCAGGGATTGACTTGTTACCAGGGAATATTCTCGTTGACTTAGAATATACAGATGATATAGTCCTTCTAGGCGAGGACACTGACAAAATACAGTCTTCTAAACACCTTGCGCTGCAATCTACAAATGTTTGGCATGCGATTCGCTCCCGCTGTCAAATGTGAGATGATGTTACAGGACTGGACTACACTGACTCCTAGTTTAGAAATAGGGAGTGAAGTGTTTGGTGGAGCGTGTTGACCGCTTCACTTATTTGGGAAGCTGCATCAGCCAACGCCAACAGGTTGATCTCTGACGAAATCTCAGTACGGATACAGAGGGCTAGTTTGGTATATGCCAGTTTACGCCGTCTCTGGCGTAGACGTGATATCCTGGTGGCTGTCGACCAAAGGGCGTGTGTACTGCTCATCAGTCCGCTCCGTCCTCCTTTATGGCTGGCTGTGAGACCTGGCCATTGAGAGTGGAAGACATGAAAAGCCTAGCTAGCTGTCTTTGATCATAGATGCCTTTTATGATGAAATTTATTTGCTTTGACAGTGTTGTAACAGCAGAAGGCAAGACATGGAAACAAACGTATACTTTCAATTGACTTATCCTCTATATATATATATATATATATATATATATATATATAGTTTATATTCTTTAGGCGGTCAGTGGGCGTGTGATTTTAGTTTATATTAAACGACATGATATATAATGTTCAAATATAGAGATCTGGTATTCTATTGCTAATGCATTATTGAACTTTGAGAATATGTGAGAAGTGTATACGGTTGGAAGACATTGTCTGTATCCCACCACCACAGTATCATTATTTTGGACAGAGATATCTTGATTAGCTGAAATGTTGGTTTGATAACAAAGCAACATGATTGTTTCAAATAAAATAGGCAATGATAAGGTCGTTTGTCTTGTTTATTCTATCTCATGTTAAAGGCACTCACGCACACACACACACACATACACACACGTAGCTCTCTGATTCCGGCCACTTTCTCGTCACCCAATGTCTTTTAATCTAAGTTGCCATTAGAATTAATTGTTAATGCGCCTAGCCTTTTAACTAGGTGTGCAATACAGTCGATATTGTCGTCTGGCGTTACACAATACTTTTGATGGTTCAAAGACTTTGAACAGGGAACTACTGCTGAAAAATTGCATCTACCCTAAATATTGGCGATTGAATGTGTGTTGATATTTTGCACTGTATACTTCTTTTATTATCTTACCGTAATTTCTTATGATATGAATTCATTGTTACAAAATAATTATTTTTTTTAATTTTTAGGGCACTTTATGCTATATTTGTTGTACTTACACATTCAATCCTGAGGAGAATTCGCCTTCGTTAGACATCAGTGTTGATTGTAATGCACAGATTCCAAGTGCCTGTCCATCAGTGTCATCTTTACCAGCTATCGCTTCTTCTTCTTCGTCTTTATGTCCACCTACTTTGATCCCTTCCTCTTTGATGACCACGAAGAAGATAGCATCAACATCCACAACAGCCACAGCGACAGCAACACCAACGACTGAGATTGTCGTGCCACAGTCAATGAAAACGTCGGCTAATTTATGGGATCACATTTTTCAGTGCATGAATAGTCGCCGTGATCTACTGAATGGTCATCATCATCAACATGGTCCATTTCCTCCACCACTATCATCATCATCATCATTGACGAAATCTGATCTTCGTGTGAATGATGATGACAACAACCACCATCATCACCAGCACCACGACCACCACCAGCAGCAGCAGCAGCTGTTCATTGGGGATATTGATTTAGACCGTAGTGAAAGTGAGCTACCAAGATATTCTTACAATTATGATAATGGTAATAAGCTCTTTTTTCTTTGGGTCGTTGTTGATGAGGATCACGTGTGTGACAGTAATATGCACTTGTTTTGCTTTATTGTTGTTTATGAGTATCAGCTTGACTTGGCTTGATTTGACTTGACTAAATATGCCACCTATGACTGTATAATCCGTAATTCTTTGAAGATTAAGGCTGCGTCTCGATAGTGGGGAAAGAGAGATTACAGGATTTCATCATGAGCTAGTATCGGTGAGAGAATGATTGGTAAATCAGGTGGGAGTGCTGTTACTGGACAGCTTTTTCGTGAGCCTAGTTTGGGACTCTTCAACAGGATGCACTTACCTCCAGGATTCGAAGGATTCATGACCTTCTGACGCATGAATTCCAACTTCTATTTCAGTTCACGATATAGCGCGACTGGCCACTAGGCAATGTGTAATGTCATCGGCGAGTGTTTATCAAACTTTGGTGGATGCGTACCGTTGAGAAGTCTCAAAGTAAGTAGGAAGCGGCATTCCAATATTTCCAGGTTTAGTACTGGTTCTCTATCGGTGTCATCTGTTGAGGAAATCTTGCAAGCAGTCGAATTGCTGCAAACCAACAGTTGAAACAAATAGATTCAAATGAACTATCATAAGTAGAAATGAGTGAGTGAGTGAGTGAGTGAGTGAATGAGTGAGTGAGTGAGTGAATGAGTGAGTGAGTGAGTGAGTGAGTGAATGAGTGAGTGAGTGAGTGAGTGAGTGAGTGAGTGAGTGAGTGAGTGAGTGAGTGAGTGAGTGAGTGAGTGAGTGAGTGAGTGAGTGAGTGAGTGAGTGAGTGAGTGAGTGAGTGAGTGAGTGAGTGAGTGAGTGAGTGAGTGAGTGAGTGAGTGAGTGAGTGAGTGAGTGAGTGAGTGAGTGAGTGAGTGAGTGAGTGAGTGAGTGAGTGAGTGAGTGAGTGAGTGAGTGAGTGAGTGAGTGAGTGAGTGAGTGAGTGAGTGAGTGAGTGAGTGAGTGAGTGAGTGAGTGAGTGAGTGAGTGAGTGAGTGAGTGAGTGAGTGAGTGAGTGAGTGAGTGAGTGAGTGAGTGAGTGAGTGAGTGAGTGAGTGAGTGAGTGAGTGAGTGAGTGAGTGAGTGAGTGAGTGAGTGAGTGAGTGAGTGAGTGAGTGAGTGAGTGAGTGAGTGAGTGAGTGAGTGAGTGAGTGAGTGAGTGAGTGAGTGAGTGAGTGAGTGAGTGAGTGAGTGAGTGAGTGAGTGAGTGAGTGAGTGAGTGAGTGAGTGAGTGAGTGAGTGAGTGAGTGAGTGAGTGAGTGAGTGCATCACCGATATCGGGAACGATTTTGAAAGATATCACACCAACAGTGTCTGTTGCCGCTATTGGTTCTTAGCTTGCCATTGACCACAACTAGACATTTTACATCCACCTACCTACCTCCGCACCTACCTATATATGTGGCTGACCGAAACCAGTACTCATGGACTTGATGATGAATTGATGTCATGTTTTTGGTTTCACAACCCGTAATTCTTTTCCAAACTATTCGTTTCTTCTATGTCAGCTTGACAAAGAAGACTGTGAATCGGCTCGATGTGTAGAGCTGCCTTACAACTTCATTGTGTGTGACTGGATTTACCCTACTTACTACCTAACACTCTGTACGCCTAGCAACCACCTCAGTATTACTCATCATATTACACCAGCTAAGTAAGACAAAACTGAAGATATAACGCGAAATCCTTTGGTCTAAAATAGCTACCTTCCGTGTTACCCCACTGGTCATAACTTCTCACTAGAACCCAGGTAACTGCTTACCTGAATCTGACCAGTCACTAGTAGTATGCCTCAGGCGAACAAACCCACCCTGTATAGGAAAAAAATAATCACCACTACTAACGAAACTTCAAAGCTGAACCTTCAAGTTCCCCCACCCCACCCCACCTCACCCCCGCAATACTCCATTCGTAACGTAAAGGAATCAATTTGTAAACTACCTAATATCGTTGTTTGTTTGTTTTTTGCATGCGAAAATTACGATTATTTGTTCTGGGTTATTTGATTTAAATTGTAATACACTACTCTTTTAAGTATATTTTCCTAATCCTCCTTTTTGTTCTGCTTCTTTTCTGTTGTTGATGTTGTCAAACACAAACAGTTTCTGATTGTGATGATCCAAGTGAAAATTTTAATGATTCTGTCCTCACTATTGTGAGTTCACCTGAACATGAGATGATCACTAATACTAACACTACTACTACTAATAATAATAATGCTGATAAGAATTATTCAGATGTGAGTTTATCACCACGCCAGATACCACTACATATCAGTGAAACATGTTTATCATCTAATATTTCGACTGACGCCGCCATCTCTGCGACCAGCGCCAGCAACACTACCATTCCAATGACTGCTGCTTCGTTGTCATTGTCATCTGCTGCTGCTCCTGTACCTGCTACTACTTCTACTACTGCGATGACGACAACGAATACTGCTGCTGCTGCTGCTACTGTTGCTGCTCGTCCTCCTCTTCCTTCATGTACTAGTCCTATTGAATATGTACATAAAATATTTAATAATAAATATGTAAAGAGAAAAGCATCAACAACAACAACTTCGGAAATTAGTGGTAGTACACGTAATAAACGTGTATGCCCATCACTAAACAAAGGTGATTGCAACAACGTACAAGGTAGTTGTCATCGCATTATTGAAGGTGTTGGTGTTAGTGCTAGTGTTGGAGGTGATGATAATGACCAACTGAGTCCAACTAATAATTCTGCTACTACTACTCCTTGTGTTGACGAGGGGGCGCAAGAACAGGTCAGCAGCGGCGGCGGAGGGACATCACGTAGTTCTGATGATACAAATGTTACTGAAATGTAAGTTTCAGTGTTAACAGTATTTTTTCAAGTGTTGTTTTTGATTTGTTTGATTTGATTGTTTACAGGATTTCGTCATGAGTTGACATCAGTTAGAGAAGCATCGGGAAACCAGCTGGTGGAGAATTACACAGCCAGACATCTATTTCATCGGTCTGGTTTAGTAGGACACTTCAGCAGTAGGCACTCACCCCCACTAAAGTTCGAACCCAGTACCTTTCAGTGACAAGGCTAGCGAGCTAGCTAGCTCGTAGACCATTAAGCCACTGGGATCAGCCCGATCCAATGGCCAGCCAGCCAGCCAGCCCATGAATTCTAACCAATTCTACCAATTCACGGCATAGCGCGCGATCACTAGCCCCAATGTCTTCGTCGAGTATTTGTCTGCAAGTAGTATCAAGAAATCTCTGATCATTCGAGATTAATCGAAATCTGAATATGATGAATCTGTCCCTTGTTGTTGTTGTTGTTAGTGCTTAACGCGAGTTGATGTCATGAAGGTGGTCTAACGGAATGTCGCCGCCGGTGTGAGGTTTCACCATGTCATAGGCGTGATGTTTATGCTCATCTGTGTGGGTGGCACTGGTGATTGCATTAACACTTTATATCATTGCAAATTTGACGGAGAATAGAATGAATTCACAGCTGATTTAATTCCAACCTATTAGTTGAATTATCAATGACCAGGCCTTCCTTGTAAGTCGAAGGGTCCTGGTTTCAATCCACAATGGGGTTATGGGGTTGTGCACCTTGTGAAGACACGCTTACTAGGGACGGGTCAGCTAGCTGTCTCCTCATGCCTTTCAATTCTTTTCTAAACAATGTGCATTCGTGAATACGACATCTAAATTGGAATTTTGCTTATTTCAGGTCAGCGTTTGATAGACCAACAATACCAAGTGGAGTTGTATCGAATCCGCCTGTATGTCAGATAACTTATAAGTGAGTGATTCAGTTATTATTTTTCTTTTCTTTTCAAGATATTATGTATCTATCATTGTGGGTTATATATATGTGTTGAGAAAAATAGATTTCCATCTCGTCTAGATTTGAATCGGTCCTTTGTCATCAGTACTATGCTACGCTATGCTTGTCAGCCATCCATCCATTCACAGGAGGTTGATCTCCAGTCGACGGAGTTCTAGACCTAACTCGCCTCCTAGTGTATACTAGTCGCTGGTAAAGGTGGGAGGTTGACCGTGACGGCAACAGCCTTTCCCCCCACCACCACCACCACTGTGGAAAATCCTGAGTCTGAAGCTTGAAGCTCTGTGTTCGCCTCGTTAGACAAGAAATGAAAGAAATAATTTTCGTTGATGGACAACAACAATTAAGAAGTGGCAGATGATATCCGGCATGTTGTCGCTAAACTACACAACACATGTGAATGGTAGCTCAGGTTGCAAAGTGGCTGCTCCCCATCGGGACTTTACTAGCAGTGGTAGTCTGGCGACTAAATCACTATCCAAGATTGTCCTTATAAGTGACAGAAAGTACTCATTGAGTCATGAAGCAAGAATAAAATAAAATTTCCATTATCGAAGAAGTCATCTTCAAAGGCTTTACTAAGATGGATGACTACCATTCATTGTTGAGTAATGAGGGCATGTGTTTGTGTATCTGCCTGTGTGTGTGTGTGTGTGTGTGCGATTGGAGTTGATTTTGATCGAGTCACTCAGATGTGGTTTCTAGAGATTGAGGCGGACTACCACCTAATTTCCTTCGCTTGAGATTAATTTATGACTTAGGATTGGAACATGATAATCACCTCGAGCTTTTTTCTTCTTCAAATAACGTCTCGTGTTAGTCAGTCATCTATGGCATATTCTCACTGAAGCACACTTGACTTCCAATCTCTTTGTTTCAAACCTGATCGACTGGTGGTTAACTGTTTCGTCCCAGTTTGCAATTGTTCAACAATACGCATCCTGATGGGTAGAAGGCTCAAAAGACCCACTCCTCTATGTGGCTATAAGTGCTTCTTGTCGTCGAAGAGTCCTTCCTCAACGTTGGACAAAACAAACTATCCAGTAGTACTCTCTGGTTTTCAGTGTTACTTCGTAATATACCTTGAAAAGCTTTTTTCCCGTATTCATTATTTGTAATTATGTGAGTGTGAATGATTCATTCCCCTTGGTAGCAGATATCAATAGCCCATATGCTATGATGTGGAGTGTTACTTACTGATTTGTGGGTTCGTCTAACTCGACTAGAATACACCTCCAGAACACCACAACACCATGTAACCACCAATTGATTGATTGTCTTGAAATTGTCTCCCCCGTACTCAGGTAAACACAAAAGTCGGACTGAGTAAAACGGCGTCTATAAAACGATAACAACTGCCTTTATTAGGTAAAAAGGCATGGCATAGTATATATGTACAAAACCTCAGGGATTTAAGCTATAAATATATGAATTCTATTGGTTGTTTGTCATCACAATCCCTCAGAAAATTAAGCCACAATTGAACGAATCAAAACTATGCAATCAGGTTATCACATGACACCTGCGTACATAAATCGGAACTTCATGACTAGTATAGACGTTTTTTCCGTTCTAACCACCACCTCCCTGTTTCTGTTAGTTCTCGATTGTGGGACCCGTCCCCCCTTGATGTTACTTTGTGAGTATGTGTATGTGTGTGTACCTTCTGTCTGTGATACCATTCTGAGATAAATTAAATCTCATTAAATTGATATTATATATACACATATACGTGACTGTCAAGTCTTTCTGGTTTTTCCATTTTGATATTTGTCTTCCTACTACTTCACCATCTAGGAGGGCTAAGTGGTAAGATGATCAGCTTAAATACTATTCTGTTTGCTGTTCTGATCAGTGTTGTTATTATCATTGCTGTGATTTGGTGAGATTTTAATAAAAAAGTAATTCATGGAATGTGGGTGGGTGGGTGCGTGTGTGTGTGTGTACATCTTAGAAAAGGAGTGTAAAACTATATATTCATGGGATTAATAGCAGGCGAATAACTAGGTGAAAGATAAAGTGTATGTTTGTGTGTGTGTGTGTGTGTGTTTATATTCATTCCCTATTTCTACCTTGGCCTCATTTATTGATTGATTCATTTGGATCGCTAGTATTTCAGCTACTACTACTACTACGTGTAAACGTCTTGATCTCATCCCTCGTTTGAAGAAGTTTGATGTAATCCATAGAATAATACACCAGTTGATTTTGCTCCTCTTGTGGAGTTGAGTGTGATGAGTACATTGGCTGTACCAGGTGTCCGTTTGTGAAAGAAAAAAAACAAATTAGGGGAACAACACTATCTATCATCCCGCCTGGCTAGCCAGCCAAATGGGAGAATATGTAGGTGCGTGTTGACGCTTATTGGCGTTTATCTACTTTATTTATCGGCGAAGTTAAAATAGCATAGCTCCAAAGTGAAGGTCTTTTTTAAAAGTTGACCACCTTCAACAGTCAATCAGATGCCAGTGATTACTACGAAAGGTTATTCCAAATTGAAGCATGCCTCCTGGCTTTTTGAACTAGGTAGTTTCTCTGCAAATCTATACTGTTAGTTAGGGTTATGGCTTTTAAGAGCAAGGTTTAGGCTGTAGAGTTAAGGTTAGAATTAGGGTCAAAGTTCAGATCAGGAGTTAGGATTATGGTCAGAGTCAGGAGTAGTAGGTTAAAGAACAGTGTCACAAATATCAATGGATCTCAAGGTATCATGGCCTTACATTCAACCTGGGTGAATGCATCTATCGGGTATGGTATGATTTCGCTACAGATCGTCTGTGTAGAAACTGAAAGACATTCTTACAATACATAAACGACAACTATATGGTGTAATGTCACGTTTGCGGTGCTTTTGGTTACTACTTTTTTGTATCTGAATTCTGATCGATTGGCTGTTCAAAGTCACTGGGATATTTATTGGCTATGATATTTTAACTTTGCTTATTTATCGTTTTGTTTCTTTGATTTGTATACACACTCCACCCCTTATTATTTTTCGATAGCTATATTTTATTACTCAGAACACTTTGAACCATTTCCCCGATGTAAAACTATAAACTACTGATTGGTGATTGAGACGAGTGGTAGTGGTAGTAGTGTAACAACAGAAGACAAGGGCCAGGCAACAGATCGTTTATTTAGGAAATCAACAGATATTTATAGATTTTCATGTACATTATTATAGATTATTGTAAGTAAACAAACACAGTCTTCTGATTGGTTGTTTCTCGCTGAACGTTAATCCTTCATCTCTTTGTGGCCGTTTATTGAAGTTCAGATTATCTATCTGCAAATTGTAGGCGTCGGTGGCATAGCGGTTAGGACGCTCGCCGACCATGCACATGGTCCGGGGTCCGATCCCCGGCCGACGCACTCCTTTACCTCGCTAAGCCAGAAATAATGCTGGTAAAGAGTAAAGGTTGGGCATGAGGCTAGCAACCCCATTCTGTAAAATGAACACTGCTACAGAAACTTCAGGCCGCTAGCTTGAAGCCCTATGTTCCACCGGGGAACGTGAAGGAAAACAACATCTGCAAATTTTATCCGCCTACGCGAATTCTGCTGTGATTGGTTGTTGAATCAGTCTTTGTTCTTATTTTTCTCATGACCAGTATTGGGGACGTACACATTGACGTAAATTACTGTCTACCAATTTGGCTAGCAGCCAACTCTCACCACTACTCATATCAACCAAGCAGTACTCACTAGCCAGCCCAGGCGAATCGTTGTGATCTAAATACTTGACTGCTGTTTCGCTCATTTTTGACCGCACTCGTCAGCGGTGTACCTACCCTACTCTGTTTGACTCAATGGTATGCAGGTACTCATCTCAATCAATCTCTAGTGTGCTAGTTTGCTCGCTTTCCCCTATGATTACCATTCATGCATAGTATCAGACAGACCCCACACATATTATGATCGGAATAACCCTGGTTTCCGCTTGAAATGTATGTAAATTGCTAATTTCGAATTTTCAAAAGAATGGATACTGAAGAAAGAGCTGAATAAAAAAAAATTTAGGAATTTATAGTTTCCACTGAAGGCCGCCTCGCTGAGCTGAGGTGAGCTGAATCGTGCGCTGCCCGAAAACCAGCGTAACGCGACCGTCTGTCTGTTGTTTCGATTTGACCGGTTGGCTGGCTGACTAGCAAGCACTACTTGTTGATTTGGGGTCCAACTACTCATATCAGTCTATCAGTAGTATATAACATCGTGTATATTTTGTTTTACTGTAAACTAAGCTTTGTAGTCATTGGCAAGTGGAAAGTTTCAAAAGTGAGGGGAGGGGTTGCTGCACGATGAACCGTCTTTAATTAGCCACGAAGTCTGGTTTCGGTATACACTCGACCTCTTGCTTTTCCATTTTATTTGTTTAGCTATGAATATATATATATATATACGGTTATATTCTGTACTTGCTCTAACTTTGCGTCTGTGTGTATGTGTGTGTTTCCTTTCCATTCTATTCAACACTAGATGTTACGTGTGTCAAAGACGATTTACTGCTCGTTCTTCGTGTCTGCGTCATATGACCAATTTGCATGGAGCTGTAACATCAGAGCTGCAGTGGAATCTTTTGACTGAAACAAATTACGGTAAGCAAGTGAAAATTCTTATGCTTATTCTTCTTGTGTTTCTTTCATTAATGTGTATTTTGTAAGCTGAAAGACACTGTTGACAACTGTGTGACGAGTCCTTTTTGAGATAGATGCTTGAACTGAATTTTCTTCCTTCCCCTCCCCGCGCCCCTGCCTGTTCAGGGTTAACAACACGTTATGTGTGATAACATGCACTTGTATCTACTGTGCGATAGACGATGTAGTTGATGATGATAGTGGTGTAGCTAGCCTCTTTGACTGACCGACTTAGTCCTTAGCTTATGTATCACTTTTGAAAGATGCTTTTATTGATATAGACTCTACTGATGACAACGTTTCAACGTACAGATTTGCACTGAAGTGTTGTAGGAGTCAAAATAGTCAAACTCCATTCAGTCCACAAAGCTACAGAAAAGAGAATGCAAAAAAAAGCATTTAGAAGTACCATAATAAGTGGAAAATTTAGGGGAGAAAGAATAGTAACATGGAACAACATATGGGTTTGGTTTTTATATAGATATGAGAGACCAGATAGAGTGGATTGATGAATTCATCTGTGCCACTGAGAACAATTTTGAGTCCCGTCAGCAATAGTCTCCAGTCAATGATGATCATGTTTCACTACAATAAAGGAGGATGGAGGGAACTGTGGTGGTGCCAACCGGATATCCCATTTACGCGATAGATGACTCTTAATTCAGTTAATACCCCCCCCCACACACACACACACACACGCTCAAGGCTTTTGTATCTGTGTTGAGGTCAAACCATTGGAGGTGATGTAACTTCTCAAATAAAAGTGAAGCATGAATGCGACGAATAAAAGGTGCTCAAGAACTGAGTCATTGGTGGTGTCTGTCTAATTTCTCCTTTCGACAATTAAATTTAAAGATGTTGTTATACATGTCTAGACCATATCACACTGACTAAGTTTTTAATGTACACCAGGCTATATGAGCTTGATGAGAGAAAAGGCTGATAATACTATTATAACTGCTACTAATACTACCCATTGGTGTCCAATCTGTAAAGTAGGTCGGCGGGGATTTGAATCTTGTGATCCTCCCGTCTGACTGACTGAAAGCAACGCTGAGAACGGACGTGGTCAATGAGCCACCCCTGTACTTTATTTGCTGCAATACTATTGCAATATAGAATTGACTAGTTTACCTGGACTGAATATCTTGTCTAGAAAGACAGTGAAAGCTTTGCAATTAAATCAATCCAATTTGAGAGAACTCGACTCAACACTGCACCAAATTATACCGTCCCAGGTTTTCCAATGGTTCTGTAACTAATGTCAGCTCATGATGAAATCCTGTAACCAATCATCCAAATCCCCACAAACCAATACTTGAATATCAATAAGATGCTCACTGGGGTTGTAATTTCGAAGTCGTGACCAGTAGGGTGCAGCACGTTGGGTGTGTGAGGACAAATACTCGCCGAAGACATTGGCTATCGGTTGCGCTATATCGTGAAGTGGCAGAAGTTAGAATTCATGGGCTGACCATTGGATCGGGCTGATCCCAGTGGCTTAATGGTCTACGAGCTAGCTCGCTAGCCTTGTAACCAGAAGGTCCTGGGTTCGAACCCCGTGGTGTGGGTGTGTACTGATGAAGACTCCCAAACCAGGATGAAACAGCTGTCCAGTACTCCCCCAGGTGGTTTTTCAATGGTTCTCTAACTAATGTCAGCTCATGATGAAATCCGGTAACCAATCAAACAAATCCCTACAAATCAATACTTGAACATCCTACTTCTATGGATTCATCAGTTGGTTTTGTGCTTAACTCAACTGTTGGGTGTGTGTTGCGGGGGTGGCGCATGAAACCAAACACTAATCGTTTGAAAAGGAAAAAGACAACAACAACAACAAAACTAGGCTACTGAGTCATTAGTTATCAGAAGTTGTTGTAAGCGCCGATCTGTCGATAAAAATGTACATCACCTTTGCGTGTAATTCATTTTTGAAGGTAAAAATGAGGGCGGTGTGTGTGAGTGTCGGGGGTAATTGTAGTGAAATAAATACCCAGTAATCTGTTTGCTTAGTTAATAGTAAAAGTAGTAGTAGTAGTAGTAGCGTGAAATGAAAGTGTTCAAAAATTGTTTTGAATTTATTGTGTGCTGAACTAACTTGCATCATGATTTGGCACTTAATGTTGTGTTTCCTAAGAAATGAACTCACAACACATATTCGTAAAAGTTATGATTCAATTATTTTTTAGTGATATTGTTGGCGGGCAATTCAAAATCTCTGCACTTTGCGTAAATGGCTTCACTGTCTGGTTGTAGGATTTTGATTCAATCATTGCCTCCTCACAGATAGTCATTTGACTTTTAAAACTGTATGTAGACTTCAGGGCATTGATGCCAGTTTCAGCTCTATGCGAATTTGTGAGCTTAATTCAATCTGACGACGACGCCGCATAATCCACCATATCTAATAAATGCGTGAATTACACAGAAAAGACTTTAAGCTAAGTGTGTTGCCAAATCAGATTTCTGTAACAGTAGGATGGTGACGTGGGTTTGAAGCTGGATATTCGTCTACGTGTAGAAGGAGGAAGAGGTCGAGGTGAAGGAGGAGGAGAAGTGGGGCATCGACTCCTTCAAGATCTCGACAAAACAAAAAGAAGGCGTGATTTATCTGAAACTTGTAATGTATTTGGGCAACACATCTCAGAGATTCTAATCACATGCACACATACGAGTACTTGTCATACAATATATTGTATAGAAGGCAACAGAGCATAAATGGCTATAATATGTGTCAAATTGTGTACGAGTCAAGGTCACACGTGAGAGGTGGGAAGATGGTGACGTAAGCAAAGGTAGAGGGTGAAAATAGTGTTAAGTAAATTGAACCTTGGTTCTAAATTGGATTACCAAGGCAGGTTCAGAGTGATAAGGAGTAATTTTCGGACACATAAAACAGGTTTAAGCCTTTTTATTACGAAGTCTTCATCGAATTTAAGTATGTGACCCAAATTTGTTTTAAATAAGGCTTTTGAAGGCATTATTGAAGTGAACCTAGGGACCCGTCTCTATGATGATGATGATGATGATGATGTGCTTTGCGATAGATAATGTTGGACATCTATTTCCAGTATCACTTGTATCCGGTGATTTTATTTGTTGTCGCAACCACTTTGGAAAATGTTCTGTAGCGCTAACCTGCAGAGACCGATGCGTCCTCCCTATACACATATGTGACCACACATACAATGTAAATTGGTAAACACAATGGAATGTGACACTACCGGTCGGATGATGTATGATGATGGTTTACAGGACAGCATAAACCTCGTTTTGTCCAAGGAAATAAGTTAAGAGCTGCTGCATAGCAAGTTCTATTAATAACCACACTTTTTTAGGAGCTGATTGGATAGCTGAGGCCGTCAGTTTGACACTTCTGTAGCGTTCAATGAATTTCAGGGAAATAGCTGTTATCCAACAGGATTTTATTTCAGTGTGAGGTGTTGTGTTTCTTCTTCTTCAATGGTGTGTTCTCTGTGTGTACACATATGCTGAATGTGCCTGAACATGCATTCAACTACTTACTGCTTTCTAATTCAGTCAGTGTGAACAGAAACCATGTGCTCATTTAGGTGTACTGTGTCTCGCTTCCATGTAATGTAGACTTTCTGTAGACCATATCGTCTTATTGATGGTCCATCTTATCGACTAGCTGATGAGTAGTAGTACATCTCAGAATGGTAAAAGGAATCTGCATTCTTTTTCACCAATGGGCAGTACCACCATTCAAGATCTTCAGTCAGCCGACGACGACGACAACAATGAGCGCTAATAAAGACGACACCTACGTGTTTATGGAAGAAGGCTTCCATCCGATTGACATTAATTCCCTCCTCCCCCGCGCCAGTAGTATTTTATTCTACGGTGTTATACCTATTTCACAATTGAAGTTGTCATGATAATCTCAGGATGGAAGAATTCCATACTCATTCAAGCGAGCTGTGTATGTGTGTGTCTCTCCATGTTTGTGTGTGTGTGTGTGTTTGTGACACTTTCCTCTGTATGCTTCACATCCCTTTTTTGCCTAATAGTTTATGCGACACACACACACTGATCTGTTATTACTACTCCAAGTGTGTAAATCACATAAGTCACTTTGACTGAGTTAATTAATTATTAATCCACAAGAAAATAAGTAAATAAATAAAAACCAAATTAATTATTTGAAAATGAATCTGATGCTCGCTAGTTGCCTGGAATTCAAGCGAGAAGTAGTCGTGTGACCAATGGGGCCTACCACCACCCGGTTGTCGGAGGTGAGGACAAATACTCCTCACCAGCGTTGACACATTAGCTGGTGCCTAGTCAGTCAGTCAGTTTCACTAAAATCACGAATTGGTAGAAATTAGTATTCATGGGTGGTGGTTGGCCATTGAGTAGTGTTGGGTCTACAAGCTCGCCTTGTAACCGGAAGGTGTCCTGGGCTCTAACCCTGGCAGTGGGGGTGGGTTGCATACTGACGAAACAGCTGTCCAGTACCAGTACTCCTCGGCATTCGATTCTGTCGACCGAGAGGTACTCTGGTGATGCTTGGCTGTAATGGGAATGCCGAGGAAATACATTGCGCTACTTACTCTACTCGAACTCATGCAGCCAGGTGAGGGCTTACGGCGAGTTGTCATCTGAAGTGGTGACGACTAGTGGTGTCCGTCAGGGATGCGCGTTATCCCCATTTCTATTCAATTTCGTCATAGATATACTAATGGATTTAACCCTGACTCACTTCAGAGACTCAGGGATTGACTTGTTACCAGGGAATAATTTCGTTGACTTAAAATATACAGATGATATAGTCCTTCTAGGCGAAGACACTGACAAAATACAGAGTCTTCTGAACACCTTGAGCTGAGCAGCAATCTACGAATGTTTGGCATGCGATTCGCTCCCGCTGTCAAATGTAGTATGATGTTACAGGACTGGACTACACTGACTCCTAGTTTAGAAATAGGGAGTGAAGTGTTTGGTGGAGCGTGTTGACCACTTCACTTATTTGGGAAGCTGCATCAGCCAACGTCAACAGGTTGATCTCTGACGAGATTTAAGTACGGATACAGAGGGCTAGTTTCGCATATGCCAGTTTACGCCGTCTCTGGCGTAGACGTGATATCCTGGTGGCTGTCGACCAAAGGGCGTGTGTACTGCTCATCAGTCCGCTCCGTCCTCCTTTATGGCTGGCTGTGAGACCTGGCCATTGAGAGTGGAAGACATGAAAAGATTAGCTGTGTTCGATCATATGTGTCTGCGTTCTATCTCCCGTGTGAAGTGGTATAATAAGGTGAGCAATACTGAGGTTAGGTGTCGAGTTCTAGGTAGGTGGGAGGGGAAATCTATCGACGAGCCTGTGAAGATGCATCGACTGAGATAGTTTGGACATGTGTTACGTATGCCTGGTCATCACCTTCATCGACAATGGGAAATGTTAACTGACATAGAGTCAGACTGGGAAAGAGCTAGCGGCGGTCAAACCAAAACATGTCTTCATCAGTCAATGAAATCCACAACAGTTAGTTTAAGCGACGTAGGAAGGTATAGACTGCCAGTCTGGTTGGGGTCCTCGGGACGGTAAAAACCAGCGGTTGGAAACAATTGGTGGTATGGCTTAAAATCGTTCTCCATGCGTAGTGCAGATGCATCCACTCCTTGTGACTTATAATTTCCAATAAAACTATGTCGTTCTTCGTTATTACTATTGCTTTGTCTCACACCTCTGTTTACTGTCTATATTATGCATTTCTTCAATTGCTTTGTGTGCTACACGGAGAGAGTGTGGCGACTTGAACTGCCGCACATCGGTGCAAAGTAGTTCTACGTCGAAAACAAACAGACAGACACCAGTACACTCCTGATTGGTTTCCAATGGTTCTGCTAGTGATATCAGTCGGTGGTCGTCGATCTTGAGAGCATGAATGTGATGGAGGAGTATCACTATTGATGTTGATTCTAAATTTTATGTTGTTGCACTCGGAATGCTTCTATAATTTAATTAATTAATCAATTAATTAATTTTTGTTTGTTTGTTTGTCTGTTAATTTTTCAACACAGTCGCATCTACTCCATCTGGACCTAAAAACAATAACCCTAATTTGTTGTCGTTGTTGAATAATAGTAGTAATAATAATACCCCAGCCAGTGGATCTGGTTCAACAGCACCACCAGCGACGACGTCGTCATCATCGTTGTCTAAATCAGGTGAATCTGTTCGTGAAGAGAATGACAACAGCAGCAGCAGTGGCGGTGGTGTTGTCAGAAAGATATTCTTTTGTTCACTTTGTAATAAGTGTTATAGGTCACGACATAGTTTATTAAGACATAAAACTTCACATCATGGACAGACGGATAGTCAGACAAGCAGTCGGCAAGCAGACTGAGTGATTGATTGGTTGGTTGGTTGGTTGGTTGGTACATTAACTCATACATCTTTCTTCATTGTATGTTCTATTACTGTCTTATGCACAGTTATGTGTTATACATATAGGTACAGTTTGTACAGACACAAAGACATAAATGTTTGCGTTTATTTTCGTTATGTGTTTGTTATATACATATACATGTTTTTTTTAACGATTATAATTGTACATATACAGGAGCCAGAAATTCAGATTTATTCATTATTATTATTATTACTAATACTCGTTGGTTAGATTTTGAATTATAAAATTTGAATAACGCGTTATTGTTATTGTTGTTGTTTTTGATAATCTTGGTTGGCTTCAATTTCGTCTCTTCTATAAAAGAGAGAGAGAGAGAGACAAAGTGGTGGGAAAAAAGTGAATAGTGAAAAACCGATGCTGGTTGAAAAGTCCCTGATCCATTTTCATGGATGCACGTTCTTCCATTTATTTATTCAGATTATGGATGATTTCTTCACAATCCAAAAACATTTAGCAAGAATCGCTAGTAGGCCTACAGAAGAACAGAGCATAGATGGCTAACTTTTGGGACTGTTGTTTTTAATAATATGGTGACCTAATCAAAGATCAGCTCTACGACCGGTCCGGTTGTTGATCATTCTGCAACCAGTAGATGTGAATTTGATTGACTCATGAATTCTTTACTTTCGTAAGTATTCGCAATGTGTAGTGCTCGGTGGTGGTTGCCTTAATGGTAGAATGCGCTCGCCAACCACAATCATCATCACCACCGAACATGTGCTCTGGGAAGTTGCCTTTATCTCGTGAAGCCAGTATTAATTCCAGTGAAGAGAGGGAATTTCGATTGTGAAGAGGCGGCTAGCAACCCCGTCGAGTGAAGATAAAACCATTGCCACTGAAACTTCGAAGCTGAAGCTCGGAACTTAGCTTTATTCCAAAATAGTACTTGTGATACAGAATGGAATTCTCAGCATTTTTACTACAGTTAGTGCATTATCAATAAATAGATTTCTACATAGACTAAGGAAATCTCAGTTCATTATTACAACAACACATTGGTATATCGGTAGCAAAGCCAAAGTTGAACAGTGTTTGAAGTTGTTAGAAAAGTAGGAACTGTCATATTTACTGGCGTAAGCGAGAGAAAGAAACAAAGCAGCACATAACGGAAAATCAAAGAGAGAGAAAAGGGGAAGAAAATCTTGTACCCATAAATGATATGAGTTGGAAAGACGAGGTCCAGTTGTTCTACTGACTATTTAATGAATTATACGTGTCACGCCTAATGCTTTCTTTATCGCACAGAACACGAGCTAAGCAGGGTATGGTTGAGTTTTTGTACTTGCTGGTGCGAGCATATAGTTTTCTATATAGGCTTTTGGTTTTGCCTGATGAGATGCAAGGGGAGAGTTGTGAGTGAAGAGGGTGTTGTGAGTTAGATAAAATGGACTTGGCCCATTTTTCACATGAGTCCATGTGCCTGTCGACCAGAATATTAACAAGCTGGTTAAGTGGCACGTTGCTTACCCTGCTGACAACCTTTAACATCCTGCGTAATATGTTATAGTCTTTCTTCAGTAGCCCGGGAGAAACTAAGGAGGAACAAGAGAGAATAATAGGTAGAATGCTAGAGTTAACGAATTGTAGGAGTAAGGGTTGGGTTATACCAGAATGCTTAACCTGTTGATGTAAAAGGTAAGACGGAATATTTTCTCAGAAATCGCCAAGATTTGAGACGACCAGGAGAGATCAGCAGATAGAATGACGCCTAGGTATTTAATTTCCTATTTAGTTTCTATTTCAGTTCCGTCTATGTTGCATACCTCGTGAGAGCCAACCAGTTTCTTAGGTCGGATTTATGCCTTAAGGAGAAATTGACTGTTTGGCATTTGGAGGGGCTTAGGGTAAGACCATTTTCCTTGGACCACTGGCTGATTTCTGACAGAAAGCTATTAAGTTTAGAGCAGTCGCTTTGACATTTGACAGGCAAAGATACAGTCAGATCGTCAGCATATTTGACAAAATTAATGTCATTTGAAGATGGTAAGTCATGTAGAAAGAAAGAAAAGAGAAGTGGGGAGATGACAGCGCCTTGGGGGACTCCGGCTTCAGTGAGTACAGCAGAGGATGATTTACCTTTATATACGGTGTACTGCATTCTGTTAGAGAAGTAGGAATGCAGCCAGTTAGTAACCCAGGACTCAGTTTTTGTCAAAGAGAGCTTATTTAGCAGGAGACATCTAGGAACAGAGTCGAAAGCAGAAGTGAAGTCAAGAAACGTACACCTTTATCTAATGATGAGACGATGTTGTTGTGTAAGACAGCTGCAGCGTCTAAAGTGCTCCTACCCTGTCTATAGGCAAATTGTTTGGGGTCTTCGAAGTTTTTAAGGGAGGGTTCAAGTTTAAGAAGTATTAGTTTTTCCATAAGCTTTAGAAACGGGGAGGTGATGGGAATGGGTCTGATTTTTACGTTCTTGCTGTTTCCAGTTTTAGGGACAGGGACAATTTTGATGTCTTTCCATGCGTCAGGTACGATACTTTTGGAGAAAGAAGCATTTAGGATGTTGGTTAGTGGAGAACACAACGCATCTGCACATTGTTTTAGAACATATGCAGGTATACCACCAGGGCCAAGGCTACGTGAGGGCTTGAGCATTTTAAGACATTTTAGAACATCGAGAGTAATAAAGTCATGAAAGTTTTCAGCTATATGATAGGAAATATTAGAAGTAGTTAAAGTAGAAGACAAATAACAAGTGTGGCGCCTTCGTCAGTCAACCAGTGTGTCATCGAGGGGGATTTCTTTTTTAATCTGTGATGTGGTCATGGACCCTACCCACCGAAGGTCTTCTTATTCTGTTTATGTTTAGGAATGTAGTGAGCAAATTGCGAAGTTTCTTTTTGTCACAGATTACTAGTTAACTGTGAAGTCTGTATCGTTTTGAAACAGTAATGCGTGTTCCGTGTTCACGTATTCAGGTCGAATGGTGTAACCACTAATCCTTGGATATTAGTATTAGCAGGTGAGTGGTTAGACACATCAGTCATAGAATATGCACAACTCAACTGACGGTATTGCTCTACTCGCGTTTCCCGAATATTATGATATAGGCGTGATTTAATCCGTAACCTAAATACCTCAACTAACTTCGAGGCAGCGACTGCAAATGCTTTCGGATTATCGCCAGTTCTCCATAAGGCAGTTTTAATTCTGGACACTGATATTTTCCATACGCTATAACCGATCCAGACATTAAGCCGAAATCGTATTGCAAGGATCTGTTCGGTAACTCAGAGAACAAGAACTAGTCGGTAAGTGTGCTGTTAGAAAACAGAGGGGTGAATTTCTGAGCAATCTAGAAACAGTAAGGTATCTAGTGATGAATAAGGAAGACAAAGAATGTGGAGAATGGGGCCAAAGTAAGTGCACTGGTGGTTAACATGTGTAAAGGTCGAGCCATGGGCATCAGCATGTCAGTAGTGCGGAAGGCTTTTTTCTGTCTATGAAGGACTAAGCATTTGCATATAGAGACAGAGTTCGCTCTTTGGCTACTCCTGACACAGCAACTAGACGCACCTGTCAGTAACTCAAGAGACATAGCAAAATCCAGTGAAGCCTCCTACTTAAGCACAGGCACCTAGGCGTCATTACATCTGGATTTTAGATACAGCAGTAGACGCAAGATCACCACAACTCCATCTATAAAGCAGCTTAAGCCTTCACCTAACTAAAATATTGACATTGTATTTATGGGCTTCAGAAGCTGGGCTCGCAAACTGCCAGCTACCCACAGCTAGGGGACGATTAATATCGCTACAGTTTTCACCAATCTGAACCCAATAAAAACACAGTGTAATTTCTTTTCTTGGGGTTAGTTACTTATGGGGCTCACTGCTGGCCAACACGGTGTCTGCTCGGAAGTTGACAGATGCAGTGGGGTAGAATATTGGGCAGAAATGAATGGGAAACCATCTACTCCAGAGGACTGTACTGTCATTCCAGATTATCTCAACTGTTAAATTTATCGACCACAACATCGTAGTCTTCCGTTTATTGAGTGTGTGCTGTCTCCTCCTCACCTATCCCATGCTCACTACTCCTGTTACAACTTCCAATCCTCTCATACACTAATTCTCTGTAATGCATTTCTAGTTTGTTACTACCTCCCTCTTTTGAGAGTTTGTCGATGACTCTGGGTGATCGTCTAATGGGGAGCAGTTTCCAAGTCCTAACAAATTCGTTGTCCTGCTATCAACCGCATATTCCTTTCTAAATAAATTAACGTACTTTATCTTTATCAGATTTACAGCAGTCAAGAAGCCAAATCCTCAGCACTGCGATCCGTCATATGTCTATAAATTTTACAAAAAGGTAAAGCCTAACTATCAATTAATCACTAGTTCTATACAAGCTTGTCTCCCTTGTGCACAAAATTCTAATCATCAGTAGGGATATGTAGGTTACTATTATACTTATTTTCCTGCAAACTAATGACTTCAAACTGTATGTGTATATACACATCAACTCCAAATTTCATAAGCCATATGTTTTTGTATTTTCTTTCTCTTAGTTTCTCTTTTTTAGTCTTTAATACCTACACTAATTATATCTGTTATTATATCTCTTTTCGACCACGCCGGACGACTGAGAGGTGAAAGGATCAACTCCATTCACAGTAGCAACACAGTCTTAACACACCGCATACCACAAACTACACATACTTAATCCAAAGCTGCTACAGTCGAGTGAAGGGACAAACTACGCAGAAGTTTACCGAAGGCCAAGAACCTTTGCCTCACAACCCAGAAGCGAACACAAAGAAATCAACTTAGTTTACACTAGATCGCAACAATGATATTGGATATTGAGCGGTATTGAATATTGTATCCATCCTACAGTTTGATCACATTATTTCACTGTGTTGTCATGTCGTTAGAGTCTACACAGAGTTAAACAGATGCCGCCTAAAAAGGTTAAAGCTGAAATTACAAATAATAAGCCTAAGAAGATTGATAAACTTACTCCGAAAGAGGCTATTCTTGATTACCAGATTAGCAATCTTCGCGAGTTGATTTCTAGGCTTCATTTTAAACGAGAATCACTTCGAAATATTCTGACTGAGAAATTGGACGACCTAAGGAGACTTAAAAAGCAAGGCGAAATTTTGTTCAAAGAAACATCTTTAAAGCTGATAGAGTTTTCAAATG